ATCTATCTATCTATCTATCTATCTATCTATCTATCTATCTATCTATCTATCTATATTGGCAGGGTCTCATTTTAAAGCCCTGAAACTCTATATAGACCAGGCTATCCTTGAACCCAGAAATCTGCTTGCCTTTGCTTCTGGAATGCTGGAATTACAACACTTGGGCTCACGAGTGATTTTTAGTCTGCATGGTGATTCTTATGAATTTTAAATTTTAATACGTTTTTGTTTTTATCTGGGTCAGGTCTAGAATCGTTAAGGCTTGGATTGGTTATTACTTTGTCAAATGTACATTGTGTGTGGCTTTATCTACACATAAACTTTGGCACTTTTGCATTGGCCCAAGGAATTCTTTGTTGTAGGGGCTTTCATATGCCCTGTACGAAGCTCAGCAGTATCCCTGAACCCCCACTGGATGCCACCACCTAAGGGACAGTCTGTGGTTGAGAGTCATTCTCTAAGGGCCAGCATAATTAACTTACTTGGCTTTATTACATGACATTCGTGGTCCAGCTTTTCTTTTATTATTTTATGTATATGAGTGCTCTATCTGCATGTACACCTGCACGCCAGAAGAAGGCACCAAATTGCATTATAGATGGTTGTGAGCCCCCATATAGTTACCCGGAATTGAACTTGGGACCTCTGGAGGAGCAGACAGTGCTCTTAACCACTGAGCCATCTCTCCAGCCCCAGTATTTTTTTTTTAAGATTTATTTATGCATATAAATGTTTTGTTTCTTACACCTCTGTGCACCATGTACATGCCTGGTGACCAAGGATGTCAGAAGACAGCATTAGATTCCCTGGATCTGGAGTTAATGGATGATTTGAGCTGCCACGTGGGTGCTGGGAATTGAACCCTGGTCCTCTGCAAGAGCACCCAGTGCTCCTAACAGCTGAGCCATCGCTCCATTCCCTCAGTATTTATTACATTCAAATAAACGAGGCTATTTCCTCATTGGGTATTCTCTTTTTATATCTGTCATATCTTTGGAAAATTTCTTAGTTGAAACTATATTAAAATGCAACTTACCGGTGAGTTTTCCCAATCTTTGATCTTGAAGTATATAAACAGCCACCTCCTACACCATCATTCATTCACCAGGTTTAAAACTTGGTTTTGATATTATGTAATTACTGTTTTATTTTTAAAGATTATTTTGTTTGTTTGTTTGTTGAGACAAGGATTCTCTGTGTAACCGTGGCTGTCCTGGACTTGCTTTGTAGACCAGGCTGGCCTCTAGCTAACAGAGATCCACCTGCCTCTGCCTCCCCGCGTGCTGGGATTATAGGTGTGCGCCACCACCGCCTGGCTTAATGATGATTCTTCTTATTCTTTAAGTTATATGTATGTGTCTGTGTATGGGTATGTGTATATGAGTAGAGGTGTCCACAGAGAACAGGGTGCTAGATGCTCCTGAAGCTGGGGTGAGCCACCGGAGGTGCGTGTGGGAATTGCGCTTGGATCCTCTGAAAGAGCAGTATATGTGCTTAACTGCTGAGCCATCTTTCCAGCCCCATTTTTTTCTTTATCTCTCTTTAGTACTTAAAGAGTACTGAGCTGTGGTCCAGCAAGTACTTCAGACAGGGCTTCAGACAGACTGAAAAACAGAGCCTCTGTGGTAACCTTAGAGCTTCATCTTAGATAATTGCATGTGGTTCTTGCTCAGTAGTGCTAGGAGCACACTAGAAATCTGTCAACCCATCATTGCGGGGAATGGCAGGGAAGCCTCCTTGAACATGATGTCTGTCTTCTACGCATGCTTAGTATTTTACAATACTATGTGTTTCCACACTGAGTTGAGCCATGCCAAAGCATTTCCAGTGACATTTGTTGGCATAAAACTGGTCAACTTACAAGACGACTAGATCGTGACATATTATAGTAACCTTCTCTTTAAAGTAATGTGGAGTTTTCAGGATCCTGCTTGGGGTTTAAAAATTAAGACACAGAGACATCTGTGTAGTTTAAGGCTGTTGGCCCAGCCTCTCATCTAACCTCTAACTTAACCCAACTTCTCCAGCATTGCGTCTCTCCACATGGTTCGCCATGCCTTCTTCCCAGCTCTGTCCAGTCTCTCTTCAGTCTTCCTCCTGTGTCTGTCTGCTAATCTTTCTGGCTTTCTTTGGCTGGACCAGCTCCAAGCAGCTCTTTTGTTGTTGTTGTTAAGGTTAAATCTGTTTTTTTTTTTTAAAGATTTATTTATTTTATTATGTAAACAATGTTCTGCCTTCATGTACACTTGAAGGTTTACATGATGGTAAACCTTCATGTTTACCATCTCATTATAGATGGTTGTGAACCATCATTATAGGTGGTTGCTGGGAATTGAACTCAGGGCCTCTGGAAGAGTAAGCACTGCTCTTAACCTCTGAGCCATCTCTCCAGCCCCCAAGCAGCTCTTTATTATACAAAAAGCCACACTCCTTAATGAACCAGTTGGCTTTGGGGCCTATGAGAACGAGAACTAGCAGCTTGCCTTTTCTTTTTCAGGTAGGCAAGGAAGCGATATTAACATACCCTACTAGCCTGGCACCAGCTCAATTAACACTTGAGAATACAGGGGCATACTTTTTCATAGTCAGTAAATACAATGTTTGAGTCGTCCCAACATAAAGAATATGCCAGCATCTGTTTTATAGTCACAACCTGTGATTGTTAAGTCATGACTAAGAAATGCGATTCTGTAAGACTGTGGTGGTGCATTCCTTTAATCCTAGCACTTGGGAGGCAAAAGCAGGTGGATCTCTTGAGTTTGAGGCCAGTCTGGTCTACAGTACTAGTTCTAGGACAGCGATGGTTAAACAGTGAAACCCTATCTCAAAAAAAGAAAGAAAGAAAGAAAGAAAGAAAGAAAGAAAGAAAGAAAGAAAGAAAGAAAGAAAGAAAGAAAGAAAGAAAGAAGAAAGATGTGATTATTAAAAAATAGTGTTCATTTTATACAATTTACTTATGGGCATTTTTGTTTTCAAAGGGCTCTTTTCCAAGAAGTGGATTTGCATTCAAAGTTTTTTACCCTTCCAGTAAGATAGTAGAAGACAGGTAAGCATGCCTACAGAACCAGCAGGGGCTTTCTCTTGATTTTATGTTGCTGAAAGTCACATTTGATATATTTAAATTTTCCTTGTGTGTCTGCAGTGGCCTACTGGGAATGTGTTAGACTGAATAGTAGTCATGCCAATTCTTGGTTGGTATTTTTCTGGTGAGAACTTTTTGAGTGGATTCTCGGGCTGGCTGTGGAGGTGAGCTAGTTCTCACAAGGTTGACACTTGAGGAGGTTTCATATTCTTCCAATAGGCCAGTCCTGTCCTCCACACGGCTTTCTTAAAGCCTGGGTAAACTGGCAGCAAAGTAGAGAGAAGCTGGATGTGTATAGTTCAAAGGTCTTAGGAAAGACCAAAATGACCAGTGATGAGAGTGGTGCCGGAAGACGCCATCAGAGCTCCTGGATCTGGACTTAACAGGCAGCTGTGTGCTGATATGCATGCTAGAAATTGAACTCTGGTCTGCAAGGACATCAAGTGTGTTAATCTATCTCTCCAGCTAACAAACTACTCTTTTGGTTTTGTTGTTTGAGGCAGCTGGGATTAAAGGCATGTGGCACTATACCCAGCTTTTGGAGTACTTTTTTTTTTAAGGTTTTTCAAAATAGGGTTTCTGAATAGCCTTGGCTGTCCTGGAGCTTGTTCTGTAGACCAGGCTATCTTCAAACTCACAGAGATCCGCCTGCCTCTGCCTCCCAAAGTGCTGGGCTTACAGGCGTGAGCCATCACTGCACAACTGGAGTCCATAGTATTAAGGCCTACCCCTCCCCACATTTTATACTGCTATAGAAAAATCTATCTATATCTATATACTGCTCAGGGTCTTGGACATACCAGGTGAGCGTTTTCCCAATTAGCTATATCCCCACCTCTTGTATTTTTAGGGTAGCCCAGGCTGAACTTGCAGTCCTACCTCAGCCTCTGGTCTGGAATAATGTGTGTATGTCACATCACACTCAGCTTTCATGTGTGTGTGTGTTTGAGCCATTCTTAGCTGGCTTTGAACTTACTGTGTAGCCCAGGTTGGTCTCAGCTTGTAGCAATTCTTCCTTTTTTTGATGAGAATGCCTTTATGAAGACATATCCCTTTGGGAGAACAGGCTGGGTGTGAGGCACATTTTCAGCGTTTCCTCTTGAATTTGCAACAATGTGAATTTATTGATTGACCTGTTTTTAAATGTAACTACAACTAAATATTAAGAAAAGAGCAATAACTTAATGCTTAATTTTATTTTCTTTTTCTATTTCAGCAAACTTCAGGGCTTTTAAGACCGATGAGAACACATGAATTTTCTCATTTTTATCTTGTGTAATTTGTATATTAATTGTAATAAAGTTATGATAACCCTAGAGTGTTCTGCACAAAATATATTTTATGAAACTTCAGGAAGTTTTATAGAGCATACATTTCCTTTGCTGTCTCATATATATGTAGATACGTATAAGAAATATTTAAAATTTTGTGCTTTATTTTAATCTAACTTTGGCTATTGACACCATAACAATTCTAATAATGTATTAACTGTTTTTTAAATTGTTTACTCACAAAATGTCTTCTTACAAAGTTGAGAAAAATCTGTTTTGGAGTATTGGTATATTTACTACATAATTGTCCATAATTGTCTTTTGGCAGTTTTCAAACTTACAAAACATAAGGGTTTTGCTTCTTAGGTTTTTGCTATGCTGAGGATCGAACCAGGACCTCACTCACTGTTAAGCAAGCACTCTACCACTGAGCTACACCCCATGCCCTATAGTTTACTTGGAATTCTATGTTTCACTTTTCTCTGCTGTTATAAAAATACCGAAGACAATAATTTACAATGAACAAAAACTTGGGTTTGGTAGTTAAAGTCCAAGACAGAAGGGCAAAGAGACCCTGTCTCAAAAGGAGGAAGCGAGCTGGGTGTTTAGCTCCGTGGTTGAGAGCTCAGCTAGCTTGTACAAGGCCAGAGGTTCAAACCCAGTAAAACATCAAACTTGTCCTGAAATTTGAAGATATAACGGTGACTTAAAATAGGTACCCAATCCTTGAGGATATTTACTGAGCCTCTCAACGCTCGAAAGACCTCCCAGGGCTCACCTGTCAGCCTCAGTTACCACTGCCACAAAGCTTTAAACCTTAAATGAAAAGGTATTTAAAAACTTGATCACGGCACTGGAGATGGCTCAGAGGTTAAGAGCACTGGCTGCTCTTCCAGAGGTCCTGAGTTCAATCCCCAGCAACCACATATATATAATGAGATCTGGTGCTCTCATCTGGCATGCAGACAGAACATTGTATACATAATAAATAAAGTCTTAAAATACAAATAAGCACAAATTTAATACTGTTTTTATAGCCTGCAATTTCATCATCAGAAATAATCCCGAGGGCTGGAGAGGGCTCAGTGGTTAAGGGCACATGCTGCTGTTGCTGGGATCAAGAGTTCAGTTCCCAGCACCTGTGCCGGGGCTCACACCTGCTTGCAGTTCTAGCTCCAGGAGCTCTGACACCCTCTTAGAGTCTCTGTAGGCACCCACATACATGTTCGCAGATATGCACAGACAATACACACCCATACATAAAAAGAAAATTTATTTTTGAGACAGGCTTTCTCTGTGTAGCCCTGGCAATCCTAGAACCGGCTCTGTACATGAAGTAGCCTCAAATTCAGAGATCTGCTTAACTCTACAAATGCTGAGATTAAAGACAAGAAAATACATCTTTAAGTAAAAAATAATTTTTAATATTTGGGTACAAATCCCAGTTTCTTCTGTGTGCCTTTTTCTCCTGCAGAAGTATTTTGGGATCAGGCTTTACATGTTAAACATATTTCCCTGTGTACTATATGTATTCATTACATGATATATTCTGGGTGCCCGGGAATCCAGTTCCACATGAGAAAAGCAGAGTTATAGGTTTCATGAAGCTCACCTTCAAATGAGGAAAACCTATCTACAACAGTACCAAAAAGAACCTATAGTAAAATATTTGACGGGCTAATTTTTGACGTTTGGAGGTGGGAGCATGCCAATGGGAATTAAGATGACATTTAAATTCTTAAGATTTGAGGGACTAGGAGTCAAGGGTGTTCTGCCATTAGGCTAACCTAGTGGGAGGCAGATGGTGACTGCACAGTAGGTTAGAGGTTAAGAGACATGGGAAAGGAATTTGAGTGCTAGTCCATCAGAGGAAACAGTGGCATAAATCAGGTGGAGTTTCAAGGGCCAGTGAGGCAGTTCAGCAGCTTCAGCCCTTGCTGTGGGCCTGACAACCTAAGTGTGATCCCCTCCTGGGGATTATACATGGTAGGAGAAAATGGCTTTCCCCAAGTTATCCTGACCTACACTGGTATTCACTATAAGCAAACAAATGCAGTAATAACTTTAAACAAGACAACTGTGTGAAGAGAAACTGTAAGAAAACGGCTGGAGACCAGACTGGAAATAATTTATTATGGAAGCCTGCGAGGGATGTGGCAGCGCAGGCCAGACATGGCACTCAGAAGATACTAGGGCCACAGCAGGACAAGGTAGGACTTGGTAGCTGAATGGCAGTAGAGGATAAGGTAAATAGTCAAGGATATTTAGGTTTTCAGTCTAAAGCTGGGGAAGTGGTGTTATTTACGAAGACTTCGAGCTTGAGAGAGTCTCAGGGTTTCGCTGAGCTGCCTACCAAACAGGTGGAGAAATGTGTGGGTCTCCTAAGTGGAAGTTTCTTCTTTGGAAGACTGAGGGCATGTGATGTTTTGCTGGAGGCTGGCTTGTGAGAGGGCACATGTTTTTGTTGTGAGCTGTCTCATGCTGGGGAGTATGACTTGGTCAGCTGAGAACATCTGTGGGTGAACTCTGAGGAGAGGAGATAGAGTCCACAGACAAAGAGACATCACAGAGAGCAATGGTCCAGAGAACTCCTCCAGGCAATCCAACTGAGTCTTGCAGCTTTTGCTGACTTGTTGCAATCTTCTGAATCGTGCTGATTCAGGTTGCTGCTTGCCTTTGGATTGGACTGCTGGTATCCGGACAGCGAAGAGTGGACTCATCCCCAGGAACTACTGCTAAGAAGGTCTACAACCGCCTTTACCTAATAATCTTCTTTCTCCCCTACCTCTGGTTAGTGGGTGGAGAGGAGGTTTAATCGTTTAAGAACCCTAAATACAGTAGGTTTGGTGAAAAATCCAAGTCTATAGGTCTCCAAGGACTCAGTGGTCTGGTAGGAAAGAAGGTTTCACCCAAAGATCTATGAAAGCATTTTAATGTTTTTAAGAGGTCTGGCTTTGAACTTCTGAGTTGCTCTTTCCTATGTGATGGATTATAGATGTACTTGAGTCACTGTACTTGGCTCAAGATCTTTTTCTTTTTTAAACAAATCTTGAAGCTTTTAAAATACAAGAAATAAATCCCCCATTATCAGTGTATATACCTCAATGAATCTTCATAAGCTGTGCACCCAATGGAACAATATACCAGGATTAAGAAAGTTCACTCTAGATCACGCTTGTTCCTTCCCAGTCACGATGCTCCTTTTTCTCCTAAAAAAGAGCAAACACTAGTTTGGTATTTTTTACTGATAGTTTTACAGCCCAGTTTCAAACAGTGAGATTTACTTAGCCAAGTTTTATTGATTATGTAGTGGAGCCCAACCATATTATTTTGCATCTTGTTTCCTCTACATAACATTACATTAGAAGGTACTTGTAACTATTGTGCTGTACAGCTGATGTGTGGTGGATGTATGCTGTTAAGTATCCATTTAACTATGAATGAGAATTAGGCTAGTTTCTAGTACTTGAGGACTACCAATAATGCTGTTAAAAGTATATACGCTCTAAGGGACTGGGTGGATAGGAATGCATATTTCTCTTTCAGAGGACCCAAGTTCAGTTCCCAGCACCACAGTAGGTAGCTTATAGCTTCCTATATCCAGCACAGAGATATGACTTACTCTTCTGGCCTTGGTGGGCACCTGCACTCCCTTGCACATACATAGACAATTAAAAATAAATCTTTAAATATGTGTATAGAAACACATCTAATACATAGTGATGTTTCTGTTAGATGTATACTTCAAAAGTGTAATTTTTTTCATTATATGCATTATGTTCAATAGTAATTTCTCCAAGTGATTGCGCCAACATATTTACCTAACATAAGAAAGTACCAGTGCTTTCATGTCCTTAAAGCACAAAGTCTTTTGCTTTTTTTTCTCTCGGTGCTTTAACATGAATAAAAGCATTTACTGTGTATAAGCCGGACGACCTGGGTTCAATCCCTGGAACCTACAGTAGAAAAGCCAAACTCCCAGAAGCTGTCTTCTGCCTGTCAAACGCACACACATATACAATGATAACATCTCAAAAGGCACATTAATTTGCCTACATAGTAGCCAGAGTAAACAAGAAATATCTGATAAGGACTCCAGTGACAGATGATGGTTAAAGCTATGGGGTTGGGTAAGAGTGAGTAAGAGTATGACTTAATAGGTGTGGTAAGCCAGCACTGGTTAACTCCTTGTGTAGGGAAGCTAGCAGGTAAAGGGCAAGGAAAGGAGCGAACAGGAACTTCAAGTATTGAAAACAAGAGGAAAATGCATTCCAAGCCAGGCTTGCAATTGCTGATTGAGGCATAGGTGAGGGAAAGAGTCAAAAATTCCATTTTCAGACATTTCAAGCCTCTAGGATTTAAGCATTTATTATTCAAATAGAGACATCAAATGGACAGTTGGATAAGTCTAGAGTTCAGAATGTGTAACAGAAGTTGGTTATTTGTGAGTTTTATTTATTTATTTACTTATTTTGGTTTTTCAAGACAGGGTTTCTCTGTGTAGCGCTGTCTACCCTGGAACTCGCTCTGTAGACCAGGCTGGCCTTGACCTCAGAGATCTGCCTGCCTCTGCCTCTGTGTGCTGGTTAGTTAAAGGCTGAGTTACTACTCCTGCTGAGTACATATATTTAATTTGTGAAAGAGATGGTATAGTGGACATGAGGTGCCATCCCAGTCTTAGGACATTTTACTTAAAATATAAGAGGAAGGCCTGCAGAAATAAAAGAACATCTGACATGCTTGGGATACAGCTCAGTGGGAAGAATGCTTGTCTTGGAGGTGCCAAGTCCTGGGTTTGGTTCTGTGCACACTCTCCCTCCCACAAAAGAGTTAGAGAAGCCTGGAAACGGTCTTGTGATTGCAGTAATGGCAGTGTAAACTGTGCTAAATGCTGTACACGTAAAACTGATCAGGGACTGAACAGCTATCAATCAACCATACTCTGGAGCTGGGCATGTGGTCAGCGATAGAGCTCATGCTACTGCTGTGAGGTCCTGGGTCCCACTCCTCGCCCTGTAACAAAACAAAAATTCTACACTGTGCTGGCATAAAATCCCATTGTAGTACTACCAGATCTGCTGCTTTGGTCCATTTTGGAGCTTATATTCTTTCTTTTAGAATCATACTGTTACAGATTACACAATCTGAGGATATGTGTTTTTATTTGTTAGTTTTAATGACAAAGTCTGTCATTTTGCTACTTGAGTTATGAGATCTTGTATTTACATTATGAAGAGTGACTAAATTTCCCGTGTTTACTGGGCTTTGGGATTTGTTTTTGGAGAGTCCATCTTTTGCCCCAAAGTTTCTGCAGGACACCTATAAGGTGGAATACATGAACATGGAAAGAACAAAAATTAAATGTTGATTTTGAAAAGTGAAAAAGGGCCAGATAAAGTTAGGACTGTGAATTGTAGCCTGTCTAAAACCTGCAGCGGGCACGGCAGTGTCTACTTGGTTTGAAGAAACAGGAGTCTATTTCTAGCTTTTCCACTCGATCACTGCCCCTCCTCCCAGGCGTTACTATGGCAACAAGGCACGCGCTGCCCTGCTCCCCAGCCGTTACCTTCCCGGGCCGGTCACTTCTGGTGACTGTGAAGGGCATCCTAGGAACTCCTTCATCCGTCAGGGCGACGGGCCTCGTGGGGCACCATGGCCAAGGCGGCGGCCTCCTCAGCACTGGAGGACTTAGATCTGAGCGGAGAGGAGGTGCAGCGGTTCACCTCGGCCTTTCAGGACCCGGAGTTCCGCCGAATGTTCACCGAGTATGCCGCGGAGATCACGGACCCTGAGAACCGGCGGCGCTACGAGGAGGAGATCACCGCGCTGGAGCGGGAGCGCGGGGTGGACGTGAGGTTCGTGCACCCAGAGCCGGGCCACGTGCTGCGTACCAGCCTGGACGGGGAGCAGCGCTGCTTCGTGAACGTGTGCAGCAACTCGCTGGTGGGCGCGCCCAGCAGCCGGCCAGGCCCGGGCCGGGGCGGCACGGCAGCAGGCAGCCACTGGTCCCTGCCCTACAGCCTGGCCCCGGGACGCCAGTATGCGGGGCGCGAGGCCCACTACACCGTCTACGACGTGGTCTTCCATCCCGAAGCGCTGGCGCTGGCCCGGAGCCACGAGCGCTTCCGAGAAATGCTGGACGCCACGGCCCTGGATGCGGTGGAGCAGCAGTTCGGCGTCAAGCTGGACCGCCGGAACGCCAAGACCCTGAAGATCAAGTACAAGGGGACGCCCGAGGCCGCCGTGCTCCGCACGCCCCTCCCCGGGGGCGTCCCCGCCCGGCCCGAGGGGGAGCCGCCGAGTCTCCTTCCGGACGCACCCTACCCGTACCGCTACCCCGCGGCGGCGGAGAGCACGGCCCGCTCGCCCGCGTCCCCGGCCCCCGAGGCCCCGCGGCGGCCCGAGCCCACCGAGCCGCGCTGCACCGTGGTGCAGCGCCACCACGTGGACCTGCAGGATTACCGCTGCTCGCGCGACGCGGCCCCCAGCACCGTGCCGCACGAGCTGGTGGTCACCATCGAGCTGCCGCTGCTGCGCTCGGCCGAGCGCGCGGAGCTGGAGGTGAAGGGGAAGCTGCTGTGCCTGGACTCCCGGAGCCCCGACTACCGGCTGCGGCTCTCGCTGCCGTACCCGGTGGACGACGGCCGCGGCAAAGCGCAGTACAACAAGGCGCGGCGGCAGCTGGTGGTGACGCTGCCCGTGGCGCTGGCCGCGGCGCGCCGGGACTTCCGGGAGACGCCGGAAGAGCCCGCCGCCGACGCCGGAAGTGAGAGCGGATCCTGCACTTCCGCGGCCGACCTGGATGCGGCGCGGGAAGAGTCGGCCGACGGGACCGGCGGGGAGGAGAGCTGCGCCGCGGATCGCGGGGTTGGAGACGCCGAAGGGGAGCTCGTTCCCGAGCCGGCGCGAGGCGTCGGTGGGGACTCGGTGGCGTCCCTGGGCCTCGGGGAAGGGGCTGCTCCTGGGGACCGAAGCCTCCCTCGCAGCGAATTCCCGGGCCGCGACGCCGAGTCCCCTGCGGGAAGACCGGGATTGTGCGGGGACCTCAGTGCCCAGACGAGTGTGGCGCAGGAGGGGACTCGCTACGACCCCCCGGGCCCCGCCATGGGTTGCCCTGGGACCGAGAGCGTTGAACCACTGTGCCCTCCTTTACAGTGTAACCAGGACGAAGACTCCTTGACTTTGCTCATTCAGGTGCCTGGGATTCAGCCGCAAAGTGTAGACGGGGATCTGAGCCCCCTCCGTTACAAACTGTGCTTCTGCACACAGGACTCGGGTTATTCCTTCACTTTGCAGTTTGCTCCCGAGAATAAGTTGGGTACCAAAGAACCCGAGCTTAGCATTTCTTTAAACAATGCAGTGGTGGTACTGGCAAAATCTCCAGAGAGCCGCGGACATTGGCGAGAGTGGTATTGCGGCTTGAACGACGATTCCTTGGAGGTAACCGTTTCCGCTATTTGAAAAAACCCACATTATAATAAACGAATATGTTCTGTTTATTCATATTCGTGTTAAGTGCGTTCTCAAGGTGAAGTTTGCACGTATTCTATCCGAAGGATGCACTAAAAGTCTTCAAAGTTGCCCGTAATGTCCACCGACTTAGACTAGAGAAGATCGGATTTTAGTGATTCCTAGACCTCTGGAATTGTATGCAAAAAAATTGAGAGTTTTGTCTCTCCTAAGAAAAGGATAATAACGATAGTCGTTCTCAAAAGGCTTTATGTCCCCAAAGCACCCCAGAGTGGTCATTTTTTAATTTAGGAAATCGCTTTCTTCCGAGTTTAGAAATTTGTGCAAGTAATGATAAATTACTTCCAGAGAGGAAGTAATCTGCGTCCTGTGCTGGGTTGCAGATTAATCGTAGTGGTTGGTAGAGCACTCCCCTTTCCTAGTACAAAGCCTGTCTCCTTCCCTACGTCCCATTTGGTTAGCTGCTGCGGCTTAATTTCAGTGAGGTTGCCCTCTGGTGGGTGCTGCAAATTACACAGAAAATTTCCGTCTGTTTTTAGTTGTCCTTAGGACCCCTAAATATTTGACTTATGGCTGGTATTTGATAAAGTTCTGGGCAAACAAAATGACCGAGGCTACCTAAGAGAAAGAAAAACAACTGTTGTAGGATAAAGTTTTGGTGAATGACTACGTTACCTGTTCTGCTTCTGTTTTGTTTTTGGGTTACGGAGGTTCTTGAGTTTTCATATTCAGTACTCCACTGTGGTCGGTAAATACCTAGGTGTGTGTAGGAGGAGAAGCTACTTTGAAGTTTTAAAGGACTTTGAAATTCATGAAAGAATAATCGATAGCCTGTTGCATGCCCGTAATCCCAGCATCCTGGAAGATGAGTGAGTTAATAAGATAATGTCTCACAAAAACAAACGAGTGTGTGGGTTGAGAGACTGGTGAAGAGGCAGAAGCGTAGAGGGTGCTGGCCTGGGGCCTCTCGGAGTCGAGTTGTCAAGAGACAGTAATAGCTGCAGACTATTTGACCTGAGCTTCAGCCTGCCAGGGCAGTTCACTTCTGGGTCGCTTTCTAAATCAAAATGGGATTAAGGCAACTACATTTTGTATCCTTGAAGACTTTAATAGATTCATTATAATTATGCCATTAATTATTACCTCGATAGGGCTAATAGGACCATAACACCCATCATTCACTGTAATGTATCAAGCCCTGAGTAGCAGGCATAGTGATGTAAATAAACCTGGACTCCCAACATTCAGGAGCCTGAGGCAGGAGGATTATGGATTTGAGGCTAGCCTGTTTGAGGCACAGTCTCAACGAAAATTGGGAATAGTGAGACATATAATAATTTTATTTCAATTATTTTTATGAAAGTAGTCATAGAGAGACTTTTCAAGTCTGGCTTTCAAGGCCAGAATTGTCACTTTACACATAAAGTACTAAATACATATTACATCCTAAGTAGTAACCAAGGGATTCTTAAATGTTTTAGGGCTAGTGAATGAATTCAGCAACTTTTATAATTATATATAAATTAGAATTTTAATTTAATTTAAATTCTAATTTATATATAAATTAAAATAAAAAATTAGAATGAATGTGGCTTTTCTGTAGTTTAATGGTACCATTTCCATACAAATATTTACTTGGATTAGCTAAAAATCCAAAATATTTGTCAGATCTTTTAGAGTGAGGAAAGGGTAAAAAATAAAGATAATAATAATTTTGAGAAGTGTGAGCCTTAGAAATGCTTTTGGTGGCATGTTTCTGTAATATCCAGACAATAAGATTATTGATCTGCAAGTAATAGCAAGACAAACTGCTCTAAATATAAAATTCTTCTAATTCATTGGTTCACTTCCAAATTCAAATGCTATTTAATCAAAGAGAACTTGAAACTTATCTCTGATTTTGTCCCCCTCTTTGGACCACATAATAATCTTTATTTTGTAATTATAATATTTACTTACATAAAAGCACAGAAGAAAATAATCTTATTTGGGGTAACAGTGAATTGATCTTATAAATTAAATAATTTTAAATTGGTTAAATGGTTATTCCTCATTTGACATGAATATAAACAAACTATATTGTGTTTGGATTTAGGTGATAGTGATGTTTAAAGTTTCTAGTAAAGTTGAGAAATCTGTTATTGTCTTAAAAATCTACTTCATTTTAAATAACTGTATACACATAGCACACTAAGATATTTTATTTTTTGATATTTCAGTTCTTAAAAACTAAAATATATGGTGACCTGATTTTTTTTAATTTTACTTATCTATTTTATGTATATGAATGCTCTGTCTACATGTACACCTACATGCCAGAAGAGGACATCAGATCTCAATATAGATGTTGGGAATTGAACTCACTCAATTCCTCCTATGGAAGAGCAGCCAAGTGCTACTCTGTAGCCCCTTGAAAAGCCCACATGAGTGTTCTCAGTGTGTCTCCCTGTGAGTGTTTCTCTCTATTTATCTAAATTAGAACTCTCTTTGTAGATCAGTCTGGCCTTGTCTTTTGCTCTTTTGCCTCCTGAGCACAATGAGTAAAGATGTGGGATGCTGTGCCAGCACTGAGGACCTTACTTTTCATTATCCTTGTTCTTAAAGTCAGGGTGTGGTGTCACATGCCTGTAATTTCATCACCAGAGAGGCAGAGGCAGGTGGATCTTGACTTCAAGGCCAGCCTGGTCTACAAACCAAGTCCAGGACAGCCAAGGCTACATAGAGAAACCCTGTCTTAAAAAAACAAAACAATCTTTGCTAAACCTGACATTGCTTCAAAAAATTAAATAGAATGTATTCTTTTAAATATTGTAATTGCTTACAGAACTTTTTCTGTATTTTGCTTGTTGCATTTTGTTTGAGACACAGGCTCTGAGGTGACTTAAGCTGTCCTTGAACTCCTGTGTAGCTAAAGGTTACCCTGAACTTTTGATCTTCCTGCCTCTACTTCCCAAGTGCTGGAAAGACAGTTTTGTGTCACTCTGTCCAGTTTACACAGTCAAGAATTTAGCAGGTATATTTGAACCGATCTAGCTCTATATTTTTTAGCTGGTTTTTAGGGATTATTAGAAAACTGGACTCTTAGAGCTGGGATTGCCTTTGCAGCCTTGAAGTGTGTATTCCTAAGGACTATCTGGAGGCATCAGGTGGTGTGATGTGTGCCCAATCCCAGCACTTGGGAGGGGGGACAGAAGGGATACCTGCAGCACACAGAGGCCGGCCTGGGCCACCTCTAACGCTACATATGTGTGGGGAAAAATAAAAATTCTATTTTGTAAGACCATCCTAGTAAGGAAAGCACACCTCTATTTTCCTAAGTAAATTTAGGAAAGATCAAGACTTCTTCCTTTTCTTTTTCTTTCTCTTTTTAGGTGGCTCTCATGATTACATGTTTTTCATGGTAATTATATTCTGGACAATACTAGATTTCCTCTTTACACGACAGCACTTAGTGTTGGTGGGATAAGCATTTAAAAATCTGTAACAATGAGCTATGTGAGAACTTTTATGAGCTGCTTTTAGTATGATTGTTAAGTGTGACCTGTAAGACAAATATATTTTTTTTTCTCTTTTTACTTTAGGAAAGATTATTTGTCAGTGAGGAAAATGTTGATGAATTTCTAGACGAGGTCCTGTGCTCCCCATTGAAGCAGGCAAGGCCTCTAGCCCCGCCACTGATTGAAGTTCTTCAGGTTACTGATGAGCAGATTCAGATCCATGCAGAGGTAAGATTTTGGTGGACATTAAAGAAGAGTGACTAGGGCTGGAGAGATGGCTCAGAGGTTAAGAACACTGGCTGTTCTTCCAGAGGTCCTGAGTTCAATTCCCAGCAACGACATGGTGGCTCATAACCATCTATAATGAGATTTGGTGTGCAGGCAGAATGCCATATAAATAATAAATAAATCTTAAAAAAAAAAAAAAAAAAAAGAAGAGTGACTAATGACAAGATTATGTCAAAGGGACTATTGGACAAACAACTAGTACATAATGCCTGGGCAGAGTGATAGCAAGACTTTTGTCTGCGTGTCTACTGTGTGATTAAAAACTTCACTATTTTCATATTACAAGATTATTTTATTGTTATGAACAACCTTGGGGATAGAAAATCAGATGAATCTAACATTCTTCTAAACAGTAGTTGAACTTCAAATGAACCTTGGAATCAGAATTTTGCATTTAAACAAATTTGGTAATTTGTCTTGCTGTTATTTGAAAGCCAAGAGTCTTACATCCTGGATAATATTTATAGAAGCACCACAGCAAAAGCATCTTAAGGCTCACACATTTCAAAAGACATTCATCATGGCCTTACTGCTAAAAAAAAAAAAAAAAAGCACCAAAAGACAATTTAGTTTGTTAGCCAATTAGCCAATCCAAGAAAAAATACTTCTATGGGAGCAACTTCTGCATGTGTACAATGTCACACATGTGTATGAATGTTTTGCTTCATGTATGTCTGTGTGCCATATGTGTGCCTAGTGCCCATGGAGGCTAGAAGAAAGCATCAAATCCCTTGGAATTAGCATTACAGACAGCTGTAAATGCCATGTGGGTGCTGAGAATTGACTCCATGTGCTCTGGAAGAGTAGCTACTGACCCTGCTCTCCATCCCCTAAATTAAAAAATAAGTAAACTTAAATCTGATTTTTAGAAGGAAAGAATGTTTTTAATCTCAGAATATTTCTCCAACTATGCATATATGTCTTTAGAAAGATTTTGCATAGATAAGTATTTTTCAGCTTTCAAATCTAAAAATTATATCATACAATTTACTCATTGTTTTTTAGCTAAGCTTTAAGTTTGGTTATCCTTATGGCCTTCAACATTGGACAAAAACAATGTAGGAACTAGCATCCCTGACTTAAGAAAAGTTGAGAAATTTCAACAATGCCCTTGCAGTAATTAAAGGTGTTTATAGGCCGTCTTTAAAAGTTTGGTTCTTTTATTTCGAAGGAGATTTTAAGAGTAACTTATTTTCATGATGTAATTGTCATCTCCAAGGCTGTCTGCTAACCTATGCCTAGTCCTGAAAGCTTCTACCCTCCATAAAATCTAATCTAGGCCTAGAATGTTTTCAGCCTCTAAGACTTACTCACCCCTTCTAGCTCTTTCTGAAGGCTGGCTGGTTGGTTCAACACAGCTGTTCTGGCTCAAACTCCCCACCAAGATGACTGATTCAACCTGGCTTCTCTCAGTTTCTCACTGAATTGCTCTGCTTGGCTCCAAACTTAACTCTAGCAATCTGTTCTAATCTTCTGGCTCCTCGTTCTTTGGCTCATTCTATCTTCACTTGTGTCTAGCTTGTTCTTTCTCTGCGCAATAGACAGTTGTACAACTGTCCTGGTAAAACTGCCTCAGGATTCCATGAACTGCACTGCCACAAACTCAACTCCACTGCACTGCCTCTCAACTCACTGACTCAAACCAAACCGCCTGAACAGAACTTGACTGGAATTGCATGCCTCTGTCTTTGGGTGTTGGGATGAAAGTACCACCTAGTATAAAGATCTTTATTTTATGTGTGTACGTGTTTTCTCTGCATGTATACAAGTGTGTTGTGTGTGTTACCTACCATATGGATTCTGGGAAATGAACTTGGTCTTCTCAGCAGGTGCTCTTAGCTGCTTAACCATCTTCCCAGTCCTAAAATAATTTAAAAGAAAATTGAAGCTGGTTTGTAGTTGAGATGGTCAGTAAGTACAGGTGCTTGCTATGCAAGCCTGGTGAACTGAATTTGAAACCCACGTAAAGGTGAAAGGAGAAAACTACCTCCAGAAAATTGTCCTTCACCTCTGAACACCCCTTCCCCAAACCATACACCCTTCCCACTGCACACACACAGTAAAGGCTCTCACTGCCAAGCTTGATGGTGTTTGAGCCTAGTACCTATGTGGTAAAAGGTGAGAACCCAAATGCCTGCAAGTTGCCTTCTGACCTTTCTATATATGCTGTATCATGCATGAACATACATACATACATACATACACAAAATATTTTAAAATATGATTTTCAGATTATTATGATTCAGTTTCTATTGTTTCAGACTACTTTGCTATTTCTTTTGATACAGTTGCAAGAATGCAGTGATCCTGATGGGCTTCAAGGAAAGGAACAAGGAGTCAAAGAAGGATGTCCTGAAAGTGAAAAGGAAAACACCGAACGTTTCACCACCTCTACAGCTGATTCCAATTCATCTGTAGCAGTTGAGGCACTAAAAATAAGCACTTACGGATCAGCTGTGGGCCTTCAACACAGCTGTCCTGACGGTCCTCACATGCTGCCTGGAAAACCTCAGGGACTGCTGGCAACAATGGATCCTGAGTTAATAAAAGAAAGCAGTACTACCAACTCAGCCGAGGAAAACATAAAAGAGCCAGTAATAAGTAAGGAAAAAGAATTAGACGGAGATGACCTGTCTTCATTACCAAACAAAACTGTAGTTCAAAACCTACCGGACTTTGACAGTATAAAAGAAACCAATATGCAGGATGGTAGTGTGCAAATTATTAGAGACCACACGACTCATTGTTCATTCAGTTTTCAGAATTCTTTGCTATATGATCTAGATTAATTTTATATTGTTTTGAAATTTAAATGTTGAGTAAGAGTAAAAATATTTGGGACCTAAAATAGCTTCTTTGTGCTTTTAACTGTAAAATGATTGTATAAACATTTACAGTTGATTCTTGTGGGGAGGCTAGCAGCCTGTAATCCCAACTCCTAGCGCTGGAGACCTGATGGTCAGTTTAGGTCAGGCTTAGCTACATGAGTTAGAGGCCAACCTGGACTACACCACAACAGCAAAGACTGGGGCAGGCCTCTAATCCCAGCATTTAGGGAGGCAAAGGCAGGTGGATCTCTGTGAGTTTGAGGCCAGCCTGGTCTACAAATTGAGTCCAGGACAGCCAGGGCTACACAGAGAAACCCTGCCTTGAAAAAACAAAAAACAAACAAAAAAAGCCTGTAGATACTTTTTTTTTTTAGATACTTTTTTTGAACAGTTTCCTTAATTATAGAAACTGTAATTTTTTTTTCTAATAGAAATATTTTTCTCAAGGACAGTTTTTTTTGTTTGTTTTTATTTGCAAACACATGGGCCACAACATGCATATGGAGGTCAGAGGACAATATATGTCTCAGGCATTAAACGCAAGTCATCAGCCTAAGTGGGAAGCGTCTTTACCCACTGAGCCATACCTCTGGCCCCTTTGGTGAGACAGAGGTTGGTTCTGTGCTCTCTCTGTCGCCTGGCCTACCCTCTAACTTGTAAGCAGTCCTCCTGCCTCAGTTCTGAGTGCTAGGACTGCTGGCATGCCCCAGTACACTGGGCTCTGAAAATAGACCATTGTGCTGCAAGTACGTACTGGCTTTTGTGTTCAGTTTTTCAATATTACTTTATTAAAGTTTCAAAATACATATTCACTGAGTTCTGTTTGTCTTAAATTCTCAATAATTCAGTTAACTGAAATATGAACATGTGGGAGGAATACACTCCTAAAATTTATTCATATCTAAGTGGGATATATTTATGGTGAAAATAAGTTTCTAAGAGGGGAAAGAACTCTAATAGATGTAGTTATTTTTTTTTTTTTTGATCTAGTTATTTTTGCACCAATCAGGTATTCTCATATAAGTCTGTCATATATATGAGTTGAGATAATTTGGGGTATGGTTGGATGGCTCAGCAGGTAAAGGTACTTGCTGGCAAGCCTGACAACCTGAGTTGAATACCTGGTACTTGCATGAGGAAAGAAGAGAATGTACTTCTGTAAGTTTGCCCTGACCCCTACACTTACTGTGGCACACAAACTTGGGCACACACACAACACACAGATAAAAATGAAATTAAAAATACATCTTCAAGCTGGGTGTGGTGATTCATGCCTTAGTCCCAGTACTCTGCAGGTGGTCTGTGAGTATGAGGAAAGGTCTATAGAGTGAGTTCTAGGACTGTTAGGGCTGTAGAGAAAACCTGTCTCAAATTAACTGGGGGGAAAAAATCCTTTTGTGCCTGGAGAGATGGCTGAGCAGTTTAGAGCACTTGCTTTGGCAGAGGACATGGGTTCGATTCCTACCACCCACATGCTAGCTCATGACCATCCTAACTCCAGGTTCAGAGGATCTGACGCCCTCTTCTAGCCTATGTGGGCAGCAGGTGCCATGTGAACATACATACATGTAGGCAAAACATCAATATACATTACAGACTTTTTTCTTTTCTCGAAACAGGGTTTTTCTATGTATCTTTGGCTGTCCTGGACTCACTCTGTAAACCAGGCTGGCCTCAAACTTGCAGAGCTCTGCCTGCCTCTGCCTCCCAATTGCTGGGATTAAAGGTTTATCACCTGGCACATTTAAAAATTTTAAGCTCATCATTTTCAAACAAGTAATTTCTTGGAAGTTACAGTTAAAGTAGTAAAAACATCTTTTGGTTTTAAAGAATATATTTAAGATTCTTTCTAGAGAGTCTGAAGAGATGGCTCAGTGGTTAAGAGTGCTGGCTGCTCTTGTAGAACCTGGTTCAATTTCCAGCATCCACATGGTAGCTCACAACCATCTGTAACTCCAGTCCCAGGGGATGCAATGCCGTCCTCTGGCCTCCACAGGTGGCACACAGACATACATGCAGACAAAATGCCCATACACATAAAAATAAATTTAACTTAGAACAGAAATTTAAAATCTGGTCAATGTTCTAACAAGAAAATTGTCTTTTACATCAAACCCTAATCTTTTAAAAATCAGTTTATAATTCCTAAAATGAGGTAAAGAGATCCTAACAGGTACTTTTTTTTCCTCCACAAAATATTTTAGGACAGCATGAAAGAAAGTGTAAAAAAGAAAATCTCTGTCATCACTACTCCCAAGGCTATGAGCTGATATTTGTTTCAGACAAGGCTACTAATTATCACTAGCCTTTGAACACTCCTGCAAACCACTTCCTTCCTTTCATCCTTTGAACTGGTGATGACAGGAGATCCTGATTTACACTACCAGCACCACGTCCTGAGAGTGTAGCTTCGGGTCCAGCCCTGGCTTTGCGTGCCTGAGGCTCTGTAATCCCAGTTAAAGGCAGAAGTGGAAGGGTTACAAACACAAGGTCAGGAGAGCTATGCACACAAACCAATCATTAAACAAGCAAAAAGAGTGAAGTGAAACAGCTCAGTGGGTGAAGGTACCCGTCACCAAGTGCTTGGAGTTTGTCCCTGGGACTCAGTGTAGAGAACCAACACCCTCTCACCTTCAGCATGCACCACAGACACCTGCATACCCACACGTCTGCACACACGATACAAATGTGATCAAACATTTAAAAAGCCAAGATAGTGACAGGTTGAGATAGAGGGTAAAACCAGAGAACTTTGCTTCACCTTCAACAAGCACACACATTTCTAGTACGGGATTGGTGAAAATAATTTTTTGTTCAAATGATCTTTACACAGAAACAAGTCCACTAATTTTTGGCTGAATAAAATTATATTGTGGAAAAGTAATGTAAAATACGGAGTAAATCTCAAGCTTGCTTCCTGTTCCTGTGTCTGTCCTTTTAAAAGTATCTCAGTCTTTGCTGGCACCAGACCTGCTGCACCTTGGCAAGACTGAACTTTGTATCATTTCTGGCCTTCAAAACCAATTTAGGCAGTATTTCCCTTATGCAGCAGCTTTTCTTACTGTTCATTATCTATGCCTGGCTAATTTGAAAGCCAAACAATTTCTTCCCAAGAGAATGCACCGTCATGAGCAGGCTTCATTTTAAAATCATACAAGGTATAGCTAGTAAATACTAAGATGTAATGCTCATACTCAAAACTTCTAGAATGCCTTTATTGATACAAATAGAACATTCTGCAAAGTGATTAGGGAACTTTTTATGTAAAAATGAGTATTTTATTTTGGCAGCACTAAAAAAAAAAAAAAATCAAAACCACTGTATTTCTACATTGAGGTGGAAACAGTGCTTAAACTTTCTTATTAATCAAATACATTCCAAAAGAAATCAGGTAATATGAAGGTTGAAAGCACAGGCAGATCTTAACACAATAGCACAGGAATCAGTAATACTGAAAATGCTCTTCTGACAGGGCGCTTAACAAACATAACTTCTGAGTTATTAAACCAGTCAAACAATTCCTTTCTAGTGATTGCCAATAGGGAAGCCGGGTTTGTTCCAGCAATACTCTAATTTCATTGTAATACTTTTTACTGTTGTGACAGTTTTAAATAAATCTTGTTGTACTTAAAATAAGTTTTGAAAGTGGAAAAGTATACAAAGTTTTAGATACAAAGATTAACAGATGTGATTTAAATAAAATTTCCCCTTTCTTTTTAGCAATAATAATCATTACCTTTAAGCAGATATAGGCTGAATTTTAAAATTCAAATCCCAAAATGAAAATTTCAGTTTGAAAATTTAGTCAACCATAACTGAAAAGGATTACTATATATTTGGACACCTTTTACAAGAAGTTTATGTATTAAAGCAGAAACCAGTTCCTATACCCTTTATTCAATTGTATATCCTATTGAGACAAATATAAAAAAATAGAAGACTGTCACTTTTGCAATTGTGATTTTCTTTTCACTGCAGTCTTCTATAACTTTTACAGAGTTCATGGTCCCTAATATCTCCCCACCCTCCATTCTTCCTAGGTGGTGAGAGGGCTGCCACAGGAAACTTCTCACTGATAACCAGAGTTTCTGGAAACATGTACTGTTTGTTATTATTTAATAACGACTCAATTTGGGCACTCTGGGTGGATGGCCTACATGTTTTCTTGTGGTGCATACCACAGTCTCCAGCATGAAAAATCCTAGGAACCTGAGGAACCAAGACTTTCCAGAATTTAGGAAGACAAGATACAGTCAAATACTGAAGAGTCCAGTCCCAGTTATAATCATCATAAGTACAGAAAGTGTCCGTGCACTCGATCAGCTTCTGATAGGCATCTCGGGTCAAGGCTAACCCCATGTTGTGCTCTGTGGATTTCCAAGTTTTCACATCTACCTTGTCAGCAATGCCATAGAAACTCCGAATGGTAGTGTAGGTCCCTAGGGAGAGGACGTCACACCCAGGACATTCCTGCTGCTTCAATTTCCACATCTTTTTGAAGACGTGGTAAAAGTCTGGGGCTACGTAGTGGTCCTCTTCCAGGAAAAGTATAAGGCCGTTGTAATCTTGAAGAACTTTGACTCTCTCCCATACAAAATGCAGCTTCCACCACCAATGATGTTTGGTTTGTGAGAATTTGGCCTCTCTGTAATGGCCGAAGGAGTCAGGGTATTCGGCGTTGATGCACCCCAACTTCAGAGCTGCAGTCTTCTTTATGTCTCTGGGGCAATCTCTGGGGTCACTACCCGGAAACTCATTCGGGTACAGCTGAATGCTGAAGGGAAAGAACACTTGCAGAACCGGGCAGAAATTCACCTTAGCGATCAGATGGTTGATCTCTGCGGACCAGAAGTCATGGCTGAAGATGACTAGGACTTCATCAATGCCTTGGGCTTTGCGAAGCGAATCTATCAGCAGACTGAGGTATTCCGGCCGGTTATGCACCTGGACCACCAGCACCAGCTCCCCGGGGCGCCAGGTGCCGTCTTTCTCGACATTCCTCAGCATCTGATCAAAGTTCAGCTGGTACACCAGGGACCGGTACCGCAGCGTGAGGTTGTCCACCTCGGGCCGCGGGACCGCGGGCACCAGGGGAGCCGCCGACTCGTTGGAAGCCCTGCGGATGCCTACGGACACGGCGAGCTGGCCCGCACCCCGCGGGGGCTCCGCGTCCAGCAGCGGCGGGGCGAGGGCGTCGTTCTTCCTTTGTCGCCCATTGCTGCTCCAGAGGACGAAGCCGCAGGCGGCCACCACGAGCGTCAGGATTAGCACCTTCCGTTTGTAGATGCGGAACCTCATGGTCTCCAGGGCCGGGAGCGCGGGCGCGGAAAGGAGCTGGCGGCCTCTGCGCGGAAGGGGCGGGCGGGCGGCGCCGTCGCCTTGGCCTGTAGCCCTTAGGAACTGGCCCCCGCGGCGGCCCTCGCTAACTCATCCCCGGGCCCCGGCCTCCTGGGGCCCGAAGGCTCTCAGCTGCCTCGCGCCGCCCGGGCTCCGCACATCCTCTCTCTCTGGCAGTCGCAGCTCCAGCAGCCGCCCAGGCGCTACGAGCCGCGGCTCAGCGTCGCCTCGCTCCTCTCCATTCAGCCCCCGGGGTCCCGGAAGAAGCCGCGGCCGCCGCACCTCGGCTCCGTTACCTGCGCCGCCCGTGGCCCTGCGTCCTCGGTGCGCTCATCCTCGCTCGCACGGCCGAACGCCGACCCCGAGCGCCGCAGCCTCGCCCCGCTCCGGCGGCGACCGTTCTGACAAGTCGCGACTGGCCCGCAAGCGTCCCGGCCCTCGGACCCACACCCTCCGCCCCGCCCCGCTGGCCTCTGATTGGCGCTTCTCAGAGGCGTCCGGAGGCGGCGCTCCGGAGGAGGCCGCTGCTTATTGGCTCGTAGTCCCGTCGCTCAGGTTCAGTTCCGACTTCCGTTCCGCTCGTCTCCCTTCCTGTTCGGCTCGTGCGATCGAGGCGGACATCGTGGACGCCGGTCTCTCTCTCTCTCCCTCTCAGTAAGTCTGGAGCTGAGCCGTAGTGGTTCCTCGGAGACCACGGCGGCCTCCCGGAGGCCGGGGCCGGCGACCTCTGAGGCGTGGGGAGGGGCAGGTGCTGCCCGGCGCGGCTGGGGTCGTCAGCCCGCGGCCGTGCTCCAGCATGGCGGTTGCTGGGCCGCGCGACATGCGGGCTGCTAACAACACGTCAGCCTTTGGCGCCGCGGGCGGGTGACGGTGCTTTAGAGGGTTAAAGGCGAACCGGACTAACGTGGCTCGGGGGAAGAGGCTGCTTCTCATCCTACACAGTCATAGCCAAGAGTTAGGAAATGAGAGTTGGTGTGGGGTCGTCCGAAAACTGGTCTGTGTTGTCCTGGCAGCGAGCTGTGGCAAAATTGAATGCTGTGTCTGTATTGGCCGCTCCAGGGGTCCGTTGCTTTCTTTCTTTTTCTTTTTTTTTTTTACGGAGCTCAGGCCGACCTGGAGCTAGCTATCTCCTGCCTCAGCCTCCCGGGACATCATCGGGCCTGATTTAGTAACTGTTTTATGTCTCGTTTTGGGAGAGCTAGTTTCTCCATAGGCTTGCAATGGTGAGGATTGAACCCAGGATGTTGACGCACACTAGGCAAGTGAGCTGCAGCCCAGCCCAGCCCAACCCTTGAGGCACTCAAAGAGGCGTACACGTTCCTGGCCTTTTATTCACGTGGAAAATGAATACTTAGTGGGTTTACACATTTTTTGACGATTACTGTGTTTTATGTATTCCTACAAATTATATCAGTTTAAAAATTTTACATTTCAGGATTCTTAACACCTGAAACTTCATTGCAGTTTTCATCGCATAGACACTTCTACTGCAAAGATGGTCAATGTACCTAAAACCCGAAGGACTTTCTGTAAGAAATGTGGCAAGCACCAGCCTCACAAAGTGACGCAGTATAAGAAGGGCAAGGATTCCCTGTACGCCCAAGGAAAGCGGCGCTACGATCGCAAGCAGAGTGGCTACGGTGGGCAGACAAAGCCAATTTTCAGAAAGAAGGCCAAAACCACAAAGAAGATTGTGCTCAGGCTTGAGTGTGTGGAGCCCAACTGCAGATCGAAGAGGATGCTGGCCATTAAGAGGTGCAAGCATTTTGAACTGGGAGGCGACAAGAAGAGAAAGGGCCAAGTGATCCAGTTCTAAAACTCATGTTGTCTGAGAGAAATACTGAGGCAGTAGAAAAATTACCTGCTAGAAAATAAAGTTATTGTGATACTAAGACTTGTGATGTTTTTGTTTTTTCGAGACAGGATTTCTCTGTGTAGCCTTGTCCTGGACTTTGTAGACCAGGCTGGCCTCTTCTGCTGGGATTACAGGTGGCCCGCCTGCCTTGTGCTGTTTTGAATCTAGGTAGAATTGCATATTTAGCATTTGTTTTCAGATGTACTTTGAGTCAGGGTCTATCTTCACCTCCTGAGTATTAGGATTAACAAACTGCACCACACCTTATTTCTTCCTGCATGCTAGATGTGCACTATACCAGCTGCCCTACAAGAAATCATATCCGTAACTACCAAATAATGGGCACAAAAATATATTGGATGTTTTGTGCAATTTGCTTCCCAGATCCATTGGCAAAGATATTCTTCTACTCAGAATGACTTGCAGATTTAATACTTAATTGTTGAAGATAATTTCCATTAAGAATTAGACTTGTTGACCTTGGTTAATTGACCATGGACAGTGATATATGTATTTAATAATTCATTCAAAAAATTGCAACAAATTTTTTGGGGCTGGAAAAATAATCAAAATTTTATTATAACCAAAGAATTACTCCTTATGGGGTGGGAGTGATTAATACAATTGGCTAAGGGTCCTGGCTGCTTTTGTGTAAGACAGATTCCCAGATCTCTAGTGGCTCACAAGTGTAGTGCCAGGGATCAAACAGGGCCTTCCATATACCAAGCAAGTGTTCTACTGCTGACCTAACCCCCATTACCTAATTTTTAGTTTATTTTTGAGATTGGGTCTCTAGCAGTCCTGGAAGACCAGACTGGCCTCAAACCCAAGAGATCTACTCGCCTCTGCCTCCTTTAAGGTGTGTGCCACTATGCCTGTCCCTATATTCTCTTTGAATAAAGCTCTAATAAAACTGTTGTAATGCCTAATATGAATGTTTGAATCTTAAGGAAAAAAGCTTCAAATGGGAAAATTTTAGAAGATGAATTATAGGGAAAGAAATTATCTAGAGGCTTTCCTTCCAAGCCAAACAGCAACATAACTATCACTATGGAGGGAGGGTTGTCTCCAGTAGCCTTCATTCTAGCTCTGGCTGGTCTGGAGCTCAAGTAGACCAGGCTAGCCTTCAGCTCATAGAGATCTGCTTGTCTGCCTCCTAAGTGCCAGAATTAAATGTATATGTCCACAACCTCCTTATGGTTTGGGGGTGGAGATAGAACTCAGGGATTTAAGCAGGCTAAGGGATAACTACCAATTGTGCCAAGTTGCCAAACCTCAAAACATTAAGTGGCAAATACTACTCTCACCAAATAAGTAATGAAGTCACTAAAAAGTTTCCTGCCAGGCAGTGGTAGTGCACACTGTAATACCAGTACTCAGGGAGGCAGAGACAGGCGGATCTCTGAGTTTGAGGTCTACCAAGGGAGTCCAGGACAGCCAAGGCTACACAGAGCAACCATGTCTCAAAACAAAAAAAGCTTTTCACTTTATTTTCAAAAGTGAAAAAAATCACAACAGATTACGTAAAGGATATTGTGAAAGTTATGAAAGCTAACCTGCCTTAGTGTTTGGTGAACAAATAGAATAAAGTAATAATGTACACTGATTATACATCCTTAACTTGGAATGTTTGGGATGAGTGTTAGATTTTTAAAAAGAGATTTCAGAAAAATTGAATAGAGACAAGAAGAGAGGGTTTTAGATCTCTTAAGAGCTGGAGTTAGACATTTTAAGCTGCCCAAGAAGGGTGCTGCCATCTGAACTCAATACTTGGAGCAGTGTTAGCTCCTAACCACTCAGCTCTTTCCAGCCCTTATTACATTAAAATGTTTTTAAACATTTACGCTATGGGTGCTTACTGGGATGTGTGTATCTGTGCGCTATGTTGTGCTATGCCTAAGGACATCAGAAGAGGGGCTCAGATTCCCTGTGACTGGAGCTATCCACATGAGCCACCAGGTGGGTGCTGGGAATTGGGGGGGCCTCTGAAAGAGCAACCAGAGCTCTTAACCTCAGAGCCATCTCTTCAGTTTCCCCCACTACAGTTTGTTTGGGATTTCTCTGTGCAACAAATTAAAGGTGTGTGCTACCATGCCCAACTCTCTTCCTACATTTTAAAAAAAGTTTTGAATGCGTGTGTGCAACTTGCAAGAATCTGTTCTTTCCTACCATGTGGGTGCCAACCATCAAACTTGGACATCACGCTTTGCAACAAGCACCTTTCCCTGCTGAGCCCAAGAACATTATTATTATTATGATCTGTGTGACTAGGATTAGTATCTGTTTAACTTTATGTTAAAAATAAGATGTAGGCCTGGTATAGTGGTGCACAAGGCAGATTTTTTTGAGTTCGAGGACAGCCTGGTCTACAAAGCGAGTTGCATGACAGCCAACGGAGAAACCCTATCTTGAAAACACAAAAACAAAAAAATTAAATGTAGCTCATGCACAAAGTCCTGGCTTTAATCCCTAACACCAACCAGGCAGAAACTAACACTGTAATCATGAATATGTTAACTTCAGAATAAGATTAAAGATTTGTATTTTGACTATATATACATGTACCACATGCATGTCTGGTGTCCCTGCAGTGAGAAGAGGGCACTGGATTCCCTGGAACTGGAGTACATAGAGTTGGTGTACACAGAGGCACAGAGTAGGTGCTGGGAACAGAACTCCAGTTCTCTGCAAAGGGTATGTGCGCTTAACCACCGAGCCATTATTGATCCACTCCCAAAATAAAACTCAGCTTTAATTAAAGTTTCAGAGTCAAATGGTTTAAAATGCTAATATATATTTCTTCCCATGCAAATATACAAAGAGCTTCCCTTTCTCCAAATACTCAACTGTCCTACATCTAAAGAACTTTATATTATACTACTACTTTAACATATCAGAATAATTTACATAACAGGTTAGAGAACAAAAGTAAGAGATAATCGGAGCTTCCATTCTACCCACATTATTCACTAAGACCACAGTGTGGGCCACAGCGTGTAGATTAATTGTGGTAGTTCCTTGAATGAAAGACTGTAGACAAAATCTTCCACAGACACAGGTTTTGGCAGTATCCAAATCTTGGCAAAGATGGAAAGGAATGATATGAGGGCCAAACGGAATCCTAATGGGGGGGGAATAAATACATATAAAATGTTATTAGATTAATTTCATGTATTTAGACAAGAATTAGAACATTGAAGCTGGGCTTGGTGGCACACACCTTTAATCCCAGCCCTTGGAAGGCAGAGGCAAGCAGATCTGTGTGAGTTGAGGCTAGCCTGGTCTACAAATCAAGTTCCAAAACAGCCAGGGCTATGCTGAGAAACTCTTGAAAAACACAAAAAACGAATAAACAAAGCACTGGATTATAATGAAATTAGAATAAAGTATTAAACTGATCAGTGGTGGTACACACCTGTAATTCTAACACTCAGGGAGGCAGAGGCAGGCGGATCTCTGAGTTTGAGGCCATCATGGTCTACAGAGTTCCAGGACAACCAGAGCTATATAGAGAAACCTTGTCTCAAAACAAACAAACAAATAAACAAGAATAAATTACATGACAATCAATATAACCATTTTATTTTCCCAAGTGCTAAGAACAAAAACAATAAGATCTAGATTTTGCTAGGTATAATTCTGGAAGCACTCTGGAGGCTGAGGCAGATTGGAGTTGAGGCCAGGGAGGCCTACAGAAGGAGAGAAGTCTAAAACAAAAACACACTGAGGTAAACCTGAGTGTATGAGACCCTGTCTTAAAAAGGCTTGGCTGGGAGTGGTGCTGTACACCTTTAATCCTAGCACTTGGGAGGCAGAGGCAGGCAGATCTCTAGGAGTTTTGAGGCCAGCCTGGGCTACAGAGCGAGTTCCAGGACAGCCAGAGCTATACAGAGGAACCCTGTAACCCTGTCTCAACAAATAAAAACAAAACAAAAAACAAACAAAAAAACAAACAAAAGCAAGGCTTGGTGGCAAATGCTTGTAATCTCGGCTCTGGAGGTTGGATGCTGAAGGAGGGAGATCCTAAATTCAAGGTCTGACTGGTCAGAGGACCTAACTTGGTGGAAGGGTACTTTCAAGTCCAATGTTCACTCTCCAGTTTAAAAAGAAAGCAGAAGCTGGGTGTGGTAGTGTGCAGATGGACCCCAGCACGCAAGAGGGAAAGCAGGACTACAAGTTTGAGGCCAACCTGAACTACATGGTAAAACTCCCCAAACCATCAAGTTAATGTTTTCAAGGGTTAGGGCTGGGAGAGGGTGCTGGGAAGATGGCTCAGCAGGTGAAGTCCCTGTGGAGTAAGCACAAAGACCTGAGAACCCACATACAAAATCTGGGTGCAGTGGAGCACTTGTGATCTCACAGCAGAGGAGGTGGCTCCCTGGTCAGCCAGCCTAGCTACTTGGTAAGCTCCTGATAAAATAAGACCATCTCTAAAGCATCTCAGGGGAAGAAAAGGCTTATTTCATGTTATGCTTCCAGGTCATAGTCAAATCAGTAAGTCAGACAGGAACCCAAGCAGGAGTTTGAAGCAGAAACCATGGAGGAACACTGATAGCTCACTTTCAGGTTACCATCTTCCTTATATGGCCTTGGACCACCTTCCCAGAGACAGGGCTACCCACATTGGGCTGGGTCCTCCAGGGTCAACTACTAATGAAAACAGTCCTTCACAGTACCACAGAACTAACCTGATGAAGACAATTAATTACTCAACTCTCTTCAGGTGTTTCTAGACTGTCAAGTTAACAGCTGATGGTAACTAGGCTAGTTCACTTACTAGCTTCCACATCTAGATGAAAGAAACATGAAAAACAAAAGAAAACAAAACCAAAACCAACCAAATAAACAAAATCCAAGCCAATGGAGTTCGATCTCATGAAACCACAGCAGTTAAGTGTTCAGAGCTATGAGCAGAAGAACCATCAATTACTTAGCCCTTCATATGCAAAATGTGTTGGTATAACATTAGCTTATTTAGCCTCAAAATTCTGTAAAATACTATTATTCCAATCTCTGATGAGATTAAGAGGTTAACTAACATGCTAAAGTCATACAAATGGATGAAGACAGTGGTCCAGAACAAGTCTGGCTTGACAGACCACACTTCAGCACTGTGCCACGTTTGAGTCCTTAAACTTCTGGGCACATCAGAATCACCTGGAGAGCTTATTAAAACAGCTGGTCCCAGTCTCTCTCTCTCTTTTTTGGTTTTTCGAAATAGGGTTTCTCTGTGTAGCCTTGGATGTCCTGGAACTCACTCTGTAGACCAGAGATCACAGAGATCTGCCTGCCTTTGCCTCCCAAGTGCTGGAATTAAAGGTATCAGCCACCATGCCCGGCTTTTTTTTTTTTTTTTTTTGGTCTGAGACAGTGTTCTCTGTGTAGCTCTGGCTGTCCTGGAACTCACTCTTTAGACCAGGCTGTCCTTAAACTCAAGAGATCTGCCTGCCTCTGCCTCCTGAATGCTGGAATTAAAGTTATGCACCACCATTACCCAGCTTGGTCCCCATTCTTTTCTTTTTAAGATTTATTTATTTATTTATTTATTTTATGGGTGCTCTATCTGCATGTACACCTGCATACCAGAAGAAGGTAGCAGATCACATTACAGATGGTTAAGAGCCACCACATGGTTGATGGAAATTGAACTCAGGACCTCTGGAAGATCGGCCTGTGCTCTTAACTGCTGAGCCCCCTGGTCCCCATTCTTTTTTTATTTTATTTTTTAAATATTAGTTAGTTTATTAACTTTGTATCTCAACTGTATCCTGCTCCCTCATTCTCTCCCAATCCCACCCTCCCTCCCTCATCTCCTCCCTGCCCCTTTCCAAGTCCACAGACAGGGTAGGAGCAGCCTTGCTAGGCCACAGTGGACATTACAGACAGTCCTGAAGAAACCTGATAAGCTAGGGTCAGGTGGAGGAGGGTGGGGAGGGAGACCTCCCCATTCTTAAAATTCCTGATTCAGTAGGTTTTGGGTTATACACCAAGAACCTGCAACTCTTAACAGGTTCCTACCTGATGCTGTTTCAGCTTCTCAGGGAACCATATTTTGAGAAATGGTGCTACAGTCATCTAACCATCAATGTCTGATATTAGGAACACAGGACAGCATATTTAAAACAATTTAGCTACTTTTATGTCATGTGTATGAATGTTTTGTCTGAGTGTCCTACTTCATAATGTGCAATGTAAGTGTGCCTGTGGAGGCACCTGTGGGCATATATATGGACAGGGGACCGTACATGCATGAGTGCATGTGTGTACAGGGGACCAGATCCTCTAGAACTACAGTTATAAGTGACTGTGAACTTCCCTATGTGCGCGCTGGGAACTGAACCTGGGTCCTCTGCAAAACCAGTCAGTGCTCTTCACTACTGATCCATCTCTCCAGCCCAAAGATAAAACATTTAAGACACAAGTAGGAAATGGTGACCAAAAAAAAGTCATTCCCTTGTAATTCTTATATTCTTATTGAAAACTGATAGCAAATAAATGTTAAAAAAAAAAAAAATAAAGATAGCAAGTAAAAAGTATCATACCAAAAAAAAGTAAGCAATATGAAGTAGAGAATAAAATTCATGATAGGGTGGGCAGGTAAGAGCTTTCTGGAAAGAGGGCAGAGGACCAAATGAAGTAATGGAATGAGCTGTGGGATTCCAAGCTCATGAAGAACATGAAGGCTACTGTAGCAAGCATCAGGCTATGTACAACACTAGGAGTGATTAAGACTTGACTGCTGTGGTGAGTGAGATGGCTCAGTAAAGGTGCTTGTGGCCAAGCCTGATGACCCGAGTTCAGTCCCTGGAACTAACATGGTAAAGGAAAGAACTTACTCCCACAAGTTGTCCTCTGACCTCTGAATGCTGTAGTAATGTAAATGCCCCCACTACTCCCTGATTCCAGCAAATAACTAAAAGTTAAAAAACTGAATGGCTATTACTGTGAGTTTCCTCAGAATATTAGGATGCTACCAAAGTCATATTTTATGCCTGAGAGTCTTACCTATTGGACAGTATGGTTTGTGCAGAAGATTCCAGTAAAGTCAATGGTACTTGAAGCTTTATAATTGGAAGGACTTCTGGTTTTTCAAAAGTATTTCCAAAAAGATCCAAGTACTCCAGGGACAACATTTTAAATTCAGAAGGTAGATTTCTAAGTTTGTTCCGAGCTGCTGATAGAAAGCGAAGGTTTGTTAGCCGTCCTATCTTGAAAGGAAACTGAATCAATTCATTATCGTTGAGGTTTAGATTTGTAAGTTCCCGGAGTTGGCAAAACTGCACAGGGAGGGCCTTGATTTTGTTCTTGCTGAGATCCAAACTCTGAAGTGACTTCTGGAGTGTGGACTGACACAGGGGCACACTAAACGACTCCAAGTGATTGTCATTAAGGTTGAGCTCTTGAAGGTGGGTGAGGTCTCCAATTGTAGCTGGAAGCTCTTTTATACAATTGTGACTCAAGTCTAACTTCTTAAGGTATTTTAAACAAAGCATACGCGTATCAACTCGGACAAGGCCACAGTAAGAAGCCTGAAGATGTTCCAGAGAATACGGAAAGTTCTTGCTTAGGGGATAATCCCTTTTGGATGTGATTACCATTTTGGTTTTAAAATTTTCAAATTCTGAAGTCTTCACTGGCTTAGGTGTTGAAAGTGGTGTGTTGATGTCACAACCTCTATGAGCCAGTTTTATAGCTGAAAGGAAAGTCTTTAAAATGCCAGGATTGGCCTAAATAAATAAAAATAAGTTATGCAATTATAAATCTCATTTTAAGTACTTCATGGTTGCTAGTTCTTCCCTTAAACAAATCCCATAGCTGCATACCCAGGCTATATAATCATTTTTTTTAAATGGAATGTAAAATATATTTTAGTAAATGTCTAAATTTTAACTTTGAAAGGTTTGGAGGGGGCCATTGAGAGGGACAGACAGTGGGTAAAGGTGCTTATTCTTTCTTTCTAAATATTTATTTGCTTATTTATTTATTATGTATACAGTGTTCAGCATGCATATACACTTGCAGGGCAGAAGAGGGCACCAGATCTCATCTTAGATGGTTGTGAGCCACTATGTTGTTGTTGCTGGGAATTGAACTCAGGACCTTGGGGAGGGCAGCCAGTGCTTTTAACCTCTGAGCCATCTCTCCAGCCCAAGGTGCTTATTCGTAAGCATCAGTTCAATCCCTAAATCCCACACAGTGGGCAGAGAGAACCAACCCTTCCTTGCAGGCTGTCCTCAGACCTCTGCCATGTATAAATATGCACAGGCACGCAGCAAGGATATGAAAAGCCAGGGGCTGGTGAGATGGCTCAGCAGTGAAGAGACCTGTTAATCCTACTGAGGACCCAGGTCCAAAGGCAGTTCACAGTGGTCTCTGTTTCTCTCTGCCTACAGATCTGCAGATCAGAGACAAGGATGTAAAGGTCTCAGACACTGTTGGAGCACATGTCCTCATGCTGCCATTCTTCTTGCCACGATGATAATAATGGACTAAGCCTCTGAAACTACAAGCTTCTTTTATAAGAGCTGCCTCAGTCATGGGCTCTTTTTTTTTCATAATTTATTTTTTTATTAATTACAATTTATTCACTTTGTATCCCAGCTGTAGCCCCCGCCCTCATCCCATCCCAACCCCACCTGCCCTTCCTCTTCTGGTCACAGTGTCTTCTTAGTCACAGAACAGTGACTAAGACACACATAAAAATAAATTTCAAATCCCAGCACTTGGGAGGCAGAGGCAGACAGATCTCTGTGAGTTCGAGACTAGCCTAGTCTACAGAGCAAGTTCTAGGACAGCCAAGGCTACACAGAGAGAGCCTGTTACAAACAAACAAAAATAAAATTTAAGATGTATTAATAACAGATACTGGAAAGCTGATGTGTTATCTCGGGCCTGTATTCCCAGCCCTAGAGAAGCTGAGGCAGGACTGCTAGCAGTTTTAGGGCAGTCTGGGCTCAGATCCCAAACACAACAGTAAGACACCTGCTTGCTATGTGGGCTATCAAGATGCTTGAACAGCCAAACAGTCTTTGTCTTGGATGTCCATTTTTGGATACAGTCTCTCTGTATCTCCCTGGGTGGACGAGAACTTGCCATGTAGAGTACTCTTGTATTGGGCTCATAGAAACCCTCCTGCCTTTGCTTCTAGAGTGCTGGGATTCCAAGCATTCGGTGTGGGGCCTGGTTTGTGTCATTTCTGTTACCATTTCCAATATCGTACCTTACTCAGACAGATATCCACAGGAGGCTCCTTTAACCGGACAGTGGCTTTCCCCTCATCCACAAATTTGGTGAAGAGCTGCTCAATGTTCTCTCTTAGCTGATTAAAACGAAAGGGGTTTGGGGGGGGAGACAACAAAACTAGGCATTACTATTCAATAACACTCACTGCAACTGGAATGTGCCAGTCTTCTCCCGGGTTCTAGTTTCGCTTTTGGTCCCATATCTAAGCGGTTTTATGAAGTTTCTGTTTGGTTGACTTTTTCTTAACAGATGAATAGTTACAGCTTTCAGGCAGCTGACACTTGGCAGTACTGCTCTATCTGCTCAGTGTCTTTCCCTTCTTTTTAGAGACTGTTTCCCCTTCTTCCAAGCCAGGCACGTGGCTATAGTAAGAAGTACCAGCAATAGTTCCTGACCTTCATAGCTTCAGTTCCTCAGTCCAGATGAACCTGCCTTCAGCTAGATCATGTGCAAACTCTCTGAGAGCAGAAAGCTTGTCTTGTTGTTACGGTTACTGCTGACTGACATAACTGGTGCTCAGAACTTTTCATAACTGATGCTTTTGCTTTAGACTTCAACAGCTCTTTACTGAGAGGCTGTTCTGTATCAGGTACCATAATAAGAACATGGAGCAGTGCTTAACAAGAAAGGTATGGTGACAACAGGCATAGTTTACAGTATGAGGGAGGATACTAAATAAGCACAACAAAAAGAGAAGCAGGGCTACTATAACCTAGGCAAGGAAACCTTTACCCAGTTTAGGAGTAGAAATGTGATTGTACAGGTGAGAGAATTAAAGGAATAGGAACAAGCTGGGGAAACGGTCAGGAGGGACAGAAGGAAATAGCACTTCAGGTGGAGGGAACATATGCAAACCCAGGAAGGGAGAGCTTGGTAACTGTGAGGAGCCAAAGACTCAGAAATTTAGGGTGGTAAGAGGTTTTTTGGAGGGAAAAGGGGGAGTACGGATGAATATGAAAACAAACCAGCGAAGAGTTTTAAAGATTCAAGAGCCGTGAGATTTACTAAGGGATTTAAGAAACAATTAGATCTGCATTAAATTTTTTTTCTGGAAAGCTAGGTGTGGTGACCCACGCCTTTTAATTCGAGCACTCAGGAAGTGGAGGCAAGTGGATCTCCGTGAGTTCCAGGCTAGCGTGGTCAACACAGTGAGTTTCAGGACAGCTGAGCTACGAAGAGTGAGATCCTGGTTCCAAACAAACAATCCCCTCGCCCCCCGAGCCAGGCACTTGTCTTTAATCCCAGCACTTGGGACAGACGCAGGACAGATCTCTATGTCCCCCTCCAATCAGCTGTCACAGCTGCAGTTTCAGAGGCTTGGTATCTACCAAGTCAGTCACCACAGCAGAAGGAGTTAAGGAGTGGGCGGACGCTCAAGGCGCCCGGTCCGCGTACCTCGTAGCGGGTTCCCTGTCTGTCCTTCATAGTGGAGACCAGCAAGCAGGCTCGGCCGTCGGACCCTGCTCCTGCCCCAGGCTGCAGCGCACTCCTGCGCGGCGGCTGGCACAGGCTCACCACCGCTCGCACGCCCTTGCCTCGGGCCTTGAGTCCCAAGGCCGGTAAGTGCTGGTTACGGACCTCCACCTCACAGTGCAGCCTCATCGCGCCGCCAGCCGGCCTCCTGGACTCTAGGTTTTGAAGCTTGGCGCCTTTCTTCCGGGCCGGGCCTCCGGGGTCCTCACGTCCGGGGCTGTCCGGGGCCCGCCTGCACCTGCCGGCTTTGTGGCTTCTCCTAGTTCTACTTCAAAGTCCCCTTAGGACGGGTGGAGTGCCCGCTTCTTAGCATTATTTTACGTTTACTGACCGAACCTCTGCGCGCTGGGCGTGCACGGAGGATCCTCCCTCTGTCTTCGGACAGGCTGCCGCCGAGGGCGCCACGTCCTTCCTTGGCAGGGGGCGTGGTGGGTGCCGGTGAGCTCTGCTGGTCCAGCGGGTATCCCATGCTCAGTGGTTCTCTGCGTTTTGACCAACTGTGTCATTTTGCAGTGGTCTCTGTGTGCTGCAAATAAAAGCTTCTTTGTTAAGTGAGAGCTACATTTATCTGTGGGAGTAAGAATAAAGATTTAAAATGCAGTTAGGAATTATCCTGGTTTAGGAGGTTCCTAGAACTCCCTCTGCAAACTACTCACAGAGATATGCTTTGCTTCTGCTGGGATTAAAGGTGTGCACTCTCATACCTGGCACTGACATTCCTTCTTGAAAACACCAGTTACACCTAAAATTTCATTTATTTTCCGGAGTTCCTGGCATATACTAGGCATTCAACTGAAACGGAATTTTTCAGACTGTTCTCATCTGTGCCTATAATCACCATTTTTCACTGCGGCGTGTAACCAATTTAGATGGTGTCAAGATAATAGGCACTGGAGATTGAAGTCAGCTGACAAAGACCCTTGCCCACTTGGACTTCATACAATAAATGGAGCGAGCATGCCCAGTTTGCCAAAATAGGCTGGAAGGCCTTCCTCTCCTGGGCTTCGGGAACCTCAGAAAATAAGTGCCAAAAAAAGTTTCTGTTATGCAAACTTGGGAGAGACAGTCACTATGTAAAAGTCCCATGACAACTCATGTTTTGTTTGTTTTTGTTTTTAGCTTCCTGATCCACTCCCATTCTCAGGAATGCTTTCTGTTTCTCAATGAATTTATTTTTATTTTCAACCATGTGTCCCATTGGGGCAGTCCTTTGTCTTGGAACACAAGAACCTTGAACATTCACTGGGCTACGATTATTTTTGCATATCTTAACCTCTAGACTACAAGCTTCCTGGATTCTGAGTTACCAGTGCTATCTACAAGATTTAAATAGTGTTCGTGTACAGTAGGTACTCAAAGCATATTTGCAGAAAGGATAAGTCAATAGCACATGTAGATATGCTACTCAAATCATAGAAATGTGTGCTATTTGTTCAACAGAGCAGGCTCATCTTAAATTCATAGTCCTTGTATAAGTGGATAGCCATTTGGTCTCTATTCTGATTTTATTCTCTTTCTACCTTGGGGGTGGATTAGAAAACTAAACTTTAAATGGATTCAGGTTTTAAAATGAAACATGAAAAGATGATAGTATCACAGGGAAATAATTTATTTTAAATAACAATAAACACCAAAACAAAAGTCAGTGAGAGGAATTGGGAATTGAACCAAGGGCTCTGGGGCAGCTAGACTCTACTATTAAGCCACATCTCTAAAAGGACTTTCTTAAGGATTCTCTCTTACACCCATGCACACAAACACACCCATGCACACAAACACATGGACACAGAAGAATTTATTTTTTTAATTTTATTTATTTTTTATTTTATGTTCATTGGTGTTTTGCCTGCATGTATGTCTGTGTGAGGGTGTCAGATCTTGGAATTACAGACAGTTTTGAGCTGCCCTGTGGGTGCTGGAAATTGAACCTGGGTCCTCCAGTAGGGCAGTCGGTGTCTTAATCGCTGAGCTGGTTCTCCAGTCCCAATACAAGAATTCCTAAATAAAACACCAAAGCGGTAATTTAAGAAAAAAAAAAAGTACATAAACTTTTTGTTTTTCTCTGCACGGCTAACAAGATATCCCTACAGGTGCAAAAGCAGCCCTTCCATCTTGGGGAGAACCAGCAGCTGCTCTGGTTGGATGTGAGGCCCATTCAAGAGGAGGGCAGTTCCGCCTGGGACTGGAAACCTAGCCAACTGCTTGTGGCTCGTGAGGTCATGGATCTTAGAGGAGAACCACCTACTGCCACCTTCCCAAACCACCATAATTCCTGACTGCATTCTAAATCTGTCTGTATACCCAAGACAGGCATAACTCACCCTTCATCGGAGACACTATGCTTCGCAGTGGATGGAGACCTTTGCAGAAAGCCACAGCTGGACGAAATGAAGAGAAAGACTGACCGTGGGATGGATGGCCGGCCCCAGCTGATACGTCTAAACAACCCCTACACCTAAGGCTCCAGAAACATCCCAGAAGAGGGTGGTAGGAAGATTGTAAGAGCCAGAGGACAAGACACCTGCTTCCAGATTGTACCCTCTAAATATGACAGGAAAACTGCACTCGTGAAATGGGAACAATATGGCTGCCTTAACAAGAACTGAACTGAACAATGACAACAGCAAATTCACATTCACATGTCAGAGTGGGGGAAATCGCAAAGGCCCACAGTTAGAGGGAATTGAAGACTGCTCAGAGAGTCTTCTTCAGGCATGAGTCCTCTAAGTGGTTACCCAGTCCCAAGTGCTCTGCCTATGTACACACATAGGCAACACTAAATGGATTCAGCAGGTTCTATTTATGCATTTATTTACACATATATGTGACAGTAATAAAGAAAATGGGCCATGAATTTGAGAGGAAGGAAAGCCTGAAAGGGTTTGAGGGAGGAGAGAGAAGGGGATTTAAATATATATATATATATATATGAAATAAATTTAATTTAAAAATTGATTCTGTACATTAGCATGATTCCTCACTATGAATGAAATTATTTAAAATTTGCATAAAAATATAGTGTGATGATTAGTTTTGGATGTCAATTGGTTTAAGGAATACTGCTGGGCAGTGGTAGCCCACACCCTTAATCCCAGTAGAGGCAGAGGCAGGAGGATCTCTGAGTTTGAGGCCAGTCTAGTCTACAGAGTGAGTTTCAGGACAGCTAGAGCTATGCAGAGAAACCCTGTCTTGAAAAACCAAAAGGAAAAAAGAAAAGGGAAAAAAGGAATACCTATAGAGGATTTTTTGTTTGTTTGTTTGGTTTGTTTGTTTTTCAAAACAGGGTTTCTCTGTGTAACCTTGGATTCTCTTTGTAGACCAGGCTGATCTCCAATTTACAGAGATCCATCTGCTTCTGCCTCCCTGAGTGATGGGATTACAAGCCTGTACCACCTTGCCTGGCTCTGTAGAGGAATTTTAATTCAGAACTTGGCTGCTCTAGTAAGGATCACATCCAAAGACCTCAGTCTGTGCGATCTGGCAGGAACACCTACACGCCTTTAATCCCAGAAGACAAGGGCAAGTAGAATTCAGAGTTCAAGGCCAGCCTGGTACAGAGCAAGCTTCAGGTAAAGAAAAGCTTAGGTCTACCTTTAATCCCAGCAGTCAGGAGACAGAGGCATGCAGATCTCTTGAGTTCTAGTCAGTGCTGTTCAGTTAGTTTGGATGAGTCAGTGAGTTTTGGTGAAGCTGAGTTCATGGCAGTTCACTTCATGGAATTCAGAGGCAGTTTTTACCAGGAGAGTTTTATAGAGATAGGTTGAAGAGAGAGCAAGCTGACACAGGTGAAGACAGTCAGGACATCTAGGGCTGCACAGAGAAACCCACTTTTGAAAAACCGAAAGGGAAAAAGAAAAAGAAAAGGAATACCTTTGGAGGAATTCTAGTTTAGAACATGGCCAGAGACTGAACCAGAAGATTAGAAGAGATTGCTAGAGTTAGTTTGAGGCCAAACAGAACCATATACTGAGAAACTGAAAGAAACAAGTTTGAATCATTCATCTTGGAGAGCAGTTTGAGCCAGAACAGCTGAATTGAACCAGCCAGCCAGAGTTTAGAAAGAACAAGAAAGGGTGAGCTTATTCAGCACTAAGTCCCGGAGGCTGAAAATATTCTAGGCCTATAATAGATTGTACAGAGGCAAGAACCTTCCAGGAGTAAGCCGCGGTTAGCAGACAGGGGCAGCATGTGAACCAATTTTTATAATAGATCCCCCTTACCAGTATGGATATCTATCAAACATTTATCTATCTCTCTACCCATCTATCCTATTGATTCTGTCCCTTTGGAGAACCTTGAATAATATACGTTTTATAGTCAGTAGTTCTAGAAAGCAACACCACCATCATTATTAAAGATAAGGTTCTTGCTATGTAGCTCAGGCTGACATGCAGCATGCCTTATCACCCAGCCAGCTTTGAATTCATGGTCCTCTAACCTTACTGCCTAAATGCACTACCACACCTGACCTGACAAAGATTTTTTTCTTCCTTGACACATTCGCACTAGGCAGCCTTAGCTGACCTGGAACTTGCTTTGTAAGCCAGGCTCCATTTTGACTCCTGAAAGTTGGAATTAAATTACTATCACACCTGGCCAAGAAACAGAATTTTACTATGAGCTACATTAGTTAGTTTTGGCATTTCTGAAATTTTATTTTTAAATTAAACTTAATTTTGAGATGGTTTCACTATGTAGTTTTGGCCGGCCTGGAACTTGTTATGTAGACCAGGCTGGCCTCCAACTCAGAGATCTGCTTGTTTCTGCCTCTCAAGTGCTGGGATTAATTCAACACCCAGATGGAACTGGTTTTCTACCTGATTTTACCTAAACTTCTATGCTCTCTGAGACAACACTGAGTGTCACTGGAAGTAGCGACAGTTTAGATTTATTTAGTGACAGTGCCTCGCTAGCAAGTGTGAGACCCTAGATTCAATCATCAGCAACCCCCTCTTCCAAAAAACAAAAAAGTACAGACCATACTTCTAATGATGAAGTCTAGCCAATCTAATAATCCAAAGTTTGGTAACTATCAGCAAATGGGCAGGTGTGTACACTCAAACCTGTGGAAATATATTTTCCAGACTGGCAGAAACTTACTGCCATAATGCTAGCCAATCTCTCAGAGGTAGCTAGGAAAACACAAACGCTCTTTGGGTCCCAAGACAGCTGATAAACAGGCCATCCAAACCCCTCAGGAAAGCGCGGCTAGCCAGGAGAGGCATGCCGCCTGCTTTGGTAAAGCTGGTGATCCCGACAGCAGCCAGTGCTGCACAAATGAAAGTAAGGCACCAGCCAGCAGTTCTGCGTTCTCAGCTTCTTACTTTGTTCAGCATGGATACTGTTTCAGGCCTGTGTCCCATCTGTTCTGTTGTATTACATTCCATCAATGCAAGATAAACAAACAAACAAACAAACAATAAAATTGGAATTGGAAGAGCTAAGAGGATCCTGTATGTGTGTGTGTGTTATTGTGTGTAAAATACTCGATTTGAAGAAACTGATAACACAAATTAAAATAAATCTGGTCTTTAAATCTGTGACTCTTTTATTATGAAAGAAGGTAAGGACTGGGTAAGGATTGTCTACCAAAAACCCAAAGTAGCATAGTTTAATGAAGTTTTTCTTTAAGTTCTCCTGAGTTCTTGTGCAAAGTTTTCTTTTTGTTTGTTTGTTTGTTTGTTAAAACTGTGGCACACTGTGCTACATCCTGTAGAATTAGTTAAAGCTTTTATTTTATTTCAGGGCAGAGCCTTGTGCAATTTTAGGTCTCTGTGAAAACATGGCATCCAGATTTTTTTCTCCAGAAATCTATTTATATTTTGAAACTTGTTGCTAGATGTTTTGTTGTCAAATTACCTGATGAAAGCAGCCTTTATTTCACATCACTTTTTCAAATTCAGTTGAGATTGAAACAGTGTCAGAAAAGAGAAAACGTGAACTCACTGTGGGCAAAAAAGTGCGTTCCAAGCCTGCATCGGTTACAAAAAAAAAAAAAACAAAAAACAAAAAAACAAACAACTAAAAGAAATGAAAAACAAATTTTGGTAAGTATATTTAGGTATTAAATATACTAAGGGTGATATACTCAAGTATACCGAAGACCTTAACGTTTTTCCCCATCCCCGGGAAGGATGTGGCTTTATCTCTTGGAGGAGTGTTATCAAGTTAAAAAAGTAAGAGGGAAACCCCTACCGACGGCGCGTGCTCATTGCAGTTATTTTAAGTTGTTTTTATAAGCTCGCGCCAGTAGGTGTCAGTGCGGAGTAAAGGGAGGAAGCGTTTGCGTTCAATAAAGATTCAAAGACTGTAAAGAAACACGGGCGAGGGGGGGAAAAAGAAAGACGTTTTGGGGGAGTGCAAAAAGAGACGGGGTCTCGCTATGTTGCCCAGGCTGGAGTGCAGTGGCTATTCACAGGCGCGATCCCACTACTGATCAGCACGGGAGTTTTGACCTGCTCCGTTTCCGACCTGGGCCGGTTCACCCCTCCTTAGGCAACCTGGTGGTCCCCCGCTCCCGGGAGGTCACCATATTGATGCCGAACTTAGTGCGGACACCCGATCGGCATAGCGCACTACAGCCCAGAACTCCTGGACTCAAGCGATCCTCCTGTCTCAGCCTCCCGAGTAGCTGGGACTACAGGCGTGCGCCACCGCGCCCGGCGAGGGCCGAGGGCGGCCGGGAGGTACTCGAGCTTCCCAGCGCCGTGACGTCACCTACTGTGCCCGCCCAGCCGGCGCTTAGACGCGTCGCTCAAAGCACGCCCTTGAAGCAACGTCGCACTGCGCACGCGTCGCGCCCCGGCGCTGCATTCTGGGTAAAGTGTGGCTCCAGAAACCTTGAAGAGCGCATGCGTGCGCCCGCTCGCTCCTTTTCCCTCCTTGGCTGTCTGAAGGCAAGATGGGTCACCAGCAGCTCTACTGGAGTCACCCGCGGAAGTTCGGCCAGGGTTCTCGCTCCTGGTAAGAAGCGCGTTGCGGGGGTCGTGGTTAGGGGACAGGGCTGCTGCTGGTGGCCGGGCGGCGCGCAGGCCCGGCGTTCGGGGCCGCCATCGCCGCCATTACGGGCTTCTGCCAGGCCGGGCGGGCCCTGGTGCTGGCGGTGAGGAATGCTGGATCTCCTGCGGCCTGTATAAATGCCATCTCTTCCCCCCCCCCCCTCCATCCAGCCGCGTCTGCTCCAACCGCCACGGTCTGATCCGGAAATACGGGCTGAACATGTGCCGTCAGTGTTTCCGTCAGTACGCGAAGGACATTGGCTTCATCAAGGTACGCGCCCTCGGGTGCCGTCCTCCATGATGCGGGCGGGAGCGTTAGACCAAGGCCCACACAGCGGAGGGCTAAGCCGTCAACAGTTCTAGAAAGGGAAGGGTGAAGGACTCGATCCCTGGCCAGGTTTAGGTGACAGGTTGAGTAAAATGTTACAGCTTTGTAGGAGATAACTACAGTTTTTACATAGTAACGTCACTTTTTTTCTTTTTTCTTTTTGGTCAAAAACAAGTTTGTTAGCTTTTTGGTACAAAACCCAACTTTCTGTGCATTTGGACCTTTGTTTGGTTTTTGGAGATAGGGTTTCTCTGTGTAGTAGAGCCCTGGCTGTCCTGGAACTCAGAAGAGTGCTGAGATTAAAAGTGTGTGCACCACCAAATCTCTACCCTTGTTTGTGTCTCCCCTTGGCTGTCCTGGAACTCTTTAGACCAGGCTGGGGCTTCTGGGATTAAAGGCTTGTGCCCACTTCTAAAATAAGATTGTGTTTAATGGGCCCACACTTCCTTTGCTCTCTCAGATTTCCAGTATTGACCAAATAATTACTGTAAGCCTAGTGCTAAAGTTTATTAGAGATTTGAATGATGTGAATGTTTCATAGATTAGAGAACCGTTGCTGGCTCCCACAGTAACTGGCTATCTGACAGCTCTCCAGAACACTGGGTTAAGGCCATTTTGTGTGCTATTGTATTGGGAAATAATTCTTAGGGGAATCCAGTGGAAATGCCAGAATCTCATTCTAAAGTAAATTAATAAATTCCCCTCTCTTCTCTTTGCAGTTGGACTGAGCGACCTTTAATGGATTATTCCAGGCTGTCTACCCCTGAAACGATCATGCTAGTCTTTGTACATAAAGAATAAAAAAGTGAAGACCTTCAATTCCTGTGGTTTTTGTTTGAGTTTCTGTTGACAGGTCTCAGACAATCATTTTCTGTAGTTGAGGTGAGGTGTTGGGAATCCAACCCAAGACATCCTACCTGTTAGGCAAACACTTTTATCAATTGACTTAAATTTACAGTCCAGAAAGGTCTTTTAATTTGGCTAGAATAATTTGTTGTAGAAGTAATCTCAGAATTGCTTTTTAAAAATACCTTGGGTCTGGAGAGGTAGTAATTGATAACATGGGTAGACTTAGTACCCGTGTTGTGGCTTACAACCAAGACTCCAGTTCCAGGGAATCCATGCCCTCTGTGGCAGTGGCTCACAGAATTTTAAGTTTCAGGCCAGAGCTACACGGAGAAACTGGTCTTGTAAAACGACTTTTTTTTTTTTTTTGGTGTGTGTGTGTGGGGTCAAGGTTTCACTGTAGGTGAGGTTTGTCTTGATCTCTGGGTGCTCAGACTAAGTGAGTGCAGCTACAGTTGGTTTGCAGTGGTCTTAAAGTAGACCCCTGGAGATAGAAGTGAGTGGTTAGCCTCTTTTACATTAGCAGTCCCAGGGTGATGTAGATGGTTCAGTGGATAAGGTGTTTGTGGCCAAGCCAAATTCAAATACTGTGCTGAACTGATAACTTGGAAGAATTGCTCTTGGCAGGACTGAAAATGGGTTTGGAAGAGTATCAACACAATTTTCAGTGCCCATAGACAACCAGTGCAGCATTTCTAGGAAATGCTTAAATTATTGTGCAATACGGTAGAGTGGAAGATGAAAGAATTTTCACTCTTTATAAAGTTTTTATTTTTCAGCTCTCATCTGAGCATATATGAAAAAGGATTCTTGGGTTATTTGGGGTTAGGAGTTTAGGAAAGCAGCCTGAGGGTAGAGATGTTAGCAGGAGGGTTTGGTGTGTGCCAGTAATCTTAGCATCCAGGGTGGAGGCAGGAGAATTGAGTTGGGAGTATTTCCAGACAGGTTTCCTCTGTGTTGCCTTGGCTGTCCTAGACTTGCATTATAGACAGACTGGCCTCAACTCTGATCCACCTGCCTCTGCCTACCTGAGTGCTGGGATTAAAAGTGTGCACCACCATTGCCCAGCTGACAATTGCTTCTATTTCATGTGACTGGGAAGGTGGCAGAAGAAGTGGTTGTGGAAGAAGCTGATTGGATTTTAACTGTAGTTAATACATTTATATTTTTTTTCCAAGACAGGGTTTCTAAGTGATCTTACCATGTCACAGAGCTCCACTCCAGATCAGGCTGGCCTTGAACTCGGAGATCTGCTTGCATCTGCCTCCCAAGTGCTAAGATTAAAAGTGTGTTCCACCATACCTGGCAAACTATAGTTTTTAAAAGAACTGGTAGACATATTGCCAGAGGACTTAGAGCTCCCAAAGGACTTAGCTCAGGATCAAGAATTTTGAAGTGCAAAGTTTACAAGCTTCATACTAATCCATCTTCGACTTTGATCAAGCTGTAGCTGTGATCAAGGCATGCTTGCCTATAAACTCAGTATTTGGTAGGTGGAGACAGGAGAATTCAAGGACAGTTTAGGCTAAGTAGTGTTTGCACAGTCTCATCTGTGCAAAATGAAAACTGCCTCAGTTGCTGTCAGGGAAAGCTATTTCAGTCAGGAGGGTGTAAGATGTTTGGGAGTGTTTTGGTAGAGATGAGGATTGTTACAGATTGAGGATGGATGAGAAATTGTCAGTTGAGCAAATATACCAAAATCTGGGAGCGAAGATGAGAGAAGCATAACATTTCATGATTTAGTGTGAGCAATCTGAACCTGTTGGATGAGCTGAGGTCTGTTCTAACACCATGGCATCCCATAAATTCTGTAATACATGTTCTTACGAAACAAACACTAGCCAGTCCCAACCCTTGTGTGTGGTAATGGAGGGAGGCCTGTGGAAAGGTAGAGGAATTTTAATCCAGAACATGGCTGCTCTGGCAAGAGATCACATTTAAAGACCCAGGTTGTGTGATCCAACTGGCAATAGATCACATCCAAAGACCTTATAGGTCTGTGTGATCTGAAATACAAATACGCCTTTAATCCAGGAGATAGAGGAAAGCAGATCTGAGTTCATGGACAGCCTGGTATAGAGCAAGTTTCAGGTAAAGAGTCCAGGCGTGGTGGTACATGCTTTTAATTCAAAACAATGAAGGTAAAGTTGGTTTGTAGAAGGAAGCACCCATACTTGAAAGTGATGCCTAATTGAGTGGCTGAAAAGGTGTCAAATCAGATAAAGATTTGACAGCATAGGATATGCCCAACTCTCACAAGGATGGGCAATGCAGAGAAAGAGGCTTTTTTTTTTTTTTTTTTTTGTAAACTGAGGCAGTAATAGAGAAACAGGTTGCAGAGGGATAGAGAACTCAGGGGAAGACTGAGGCAGAGAATAAGGAGCCAGGAGATTTGAGCTGATTGCTTCAGTTAGTTTGAGGCCAAACAGCAATTCAGAGGCCAAGAGAAAAACCAGATTGAATAAACTATCTGGGAGAGGAGTTTGAACCAGAACAATTGAATTAAACCAGCCAACTCAAAGCTCAGAACAAGAAAGGGTGAGCTTATTCAGCAGTAAGTCTCAGAGGCTGGAAACATTCTAGGCCTAGGTTAGATTGTACAGAGGCTAGAAACTTCTAGGACTACGCTTAGGTTAGCAAACAGAGGCAATTATCTGCCGAAACAACAGTTGAAACAGATGGATAAAAGTTCTTTTTACACCCAGCTCCCCACCCCTACCTTCATGTCCTTTCAATTATCTTCGTCTTTCTATCTTCGTACCATTTAGTTATTCTGTTTCTGGATTCCTGTTTTTTTCCTCAGGCCTTCCCATTTCTGTGTGTGGCTGACTCCTCCTGAACTTGCTTTTAATGTTCCTGGTCAACTTGTGCGACCAAGCCTGCAGCCACTAGAAGTTGACTGTAAAACTGACGGAAAGTTAGAGGGACACAGACAAGGATAGGAAGTGTGGTCTCCCTGAAATAATGGCTTCTTGTTCACTGACACTGAGAGGTGAAACTGGGGGAAGGCACAGGGGTGAGTTTCTAAACAGGGCCAGTAAAAAGAATGGGAGGACACAGGGATGCTGTAAAACACCCAAGCCAGCTTCCAGCGATGGGCTTCCCAACCTTAGGGCTCCTCCCAACCTGAAGGGAGAAAACTTACTTTCCCTTTCTGTTGTGTTTCACTGTGTCAGGGACGTCTAGAGATTCCCTTAGATCAGTGGTTCTTAACTGATTGCAACCTTTTTAGGGGCTCGAAGGACCCTTTCAAAGAGGTGGCCTAAGACCATCAGAAAACAAAGATGTTTACCTTATGATTCATAATATTAGCAAAATTACAGTATGAAGTAGCAATGAAATAATTTTATGGTTGGAGGTCACTACAGCATGAGGAACTGTATTAAAGGGTCACAGCATTAGGAAGGCTGAGAACCACTGCTCTAGATGACTGCCAGCACCCGTGTTACAATCTTCCAACATTTATACAACATCCTTAACAAATAGCAAATGAGTACATTTCCACTGGAAGACTGTGGCCAGTTGCTGAGGTCTTGAAGAAAGGGAGAGAGTGGAGAAGTAAGTGAGCCCTTTTACAGAGAGAAAAAAAGTAATGCCCTCTTTCTTCTTGCCCCTGGGGATATAGGCTTGTACTGATCTGTCTGAAGATGTATTTGGGTACGACTATATTCAGGAGATGACTTTGTAAGTTCCTCTTGTATGTGATTTAAATTCAAAGGGAGTGCGGTAGGTATGTTTGAGGCAGTGAGAGAAAAGAGTGTCTTAGTTTAATAACACTGTAAGCTTGTAAGTACCACTAGCAGGACGGACACAAGCAACCTGATCGTAATTATGCTGATTGTGCAGACAGCTCCCCTGTGTAGACTCGCTGAGACTCCACTGCCGAATATCACGCCTTAGCAGCAACTGCTAGAAAAATCAATAAGTCCTTTCCCCAGGAATCAAAGATATATGGGTTACTAAAACCCCTAACAATTGCCCATAAAGAGTAATGTCTCATTATATTAATTCTAAAGGAGGTTTGCATTTTACTTCCTAAATAATAACAAGATTGCAAATTAGAGGACTAGTTGACAAGAGTGATAAACATTCATGGCAGCACAGACAAATCAATAAGAGAATAGGATAAAGAGAAATGGAGCCTGTTTCCAGCAGTGTGTTCATTGGATTTCCTAGGCTGAGCCCTGTTCACCTCATGCCCTCATTTCACCTACTCACTTCACAAGCTCACTTCACGGGGAGCTTCCGCATCTTCCTTTGATGGTAATTAACTCATATTAACATTCATGAACACTGAGTGTGACACTCAGTGCAGACGATATGTCCAGTCAACTGCAAAAGGAGAAGGCTGTGGAAACTAGCACCTAAATGGAATTGCAACCACGACAGAGATGGCTCAGTACACTATAGCATTGACACTGGAGAAATTCAAGCAGGGGTAGGTAAGTGCTTCACCAGCCAGGCTTTACAAGATTGCAAGATTTAGGATTTAGCTTGTTTTATTATTGTTTTTGTCATCACTATTACTAGATTTTATTTTATTTATTTATTGTGGTTTTTCTGAGACAGGTTTATCTGTGTAGCCATGGCTGTCCTGGAACTCAATCTGTACACCAGGCTGGCCTCGAACTCACAGAGACCCACCTGCCTCTGCCTCCTGAGTGCTGGGATCAAAGGTGAGCACCACCACTGCCCGACTAGATTTTATTTTTTGAGACAAGATATTGCTCTGTAACCCACGCTGGTCTGGAGCTCACCATGTAACCCAGGCTGGCTTTGAACTGACAGCGATCCCCTTG